TTGATTGGCTCTTTATTTTCATCTTATCATCTACAAGCTTGCCTGTTACGTGTTTCTTTTTGTGTACTCAAAAAGTGAGTACACTCTAGAATCGGTCAGTGTGCCCGTCCTGTCGGCCGGCCGGCCGACCAGCCGTAGGCACGATAACTTTCGAAAGGAGAGTCAGATCGTGATGAAATTTTCCGCACAGTTCAATCTCATGAATATCTCGGTCGAGTTCGAAGATGAGAAGGATCCGTCAAGAAATGGCTGAGCTATCGAAAAAACTGTCATTTTTGATCAGACCATCCCTGAGGGGGAGTACAGGGATTTTTTTCAAAAAACTATTTTTTCTCAAAATTATTCACAACATATATAAATCGATTCAGTTTTGAACGCTGATTCCGAATCTGATATTAGTTTTGAACCAAAGTGTAGCTTTCTAACGAAACATCGCCTGAAAAACATCTCAAATGCACAAAAACTGCATCAAGAAATCAAATTGCCTAGTTCCTCATGATAATTTTGGTGTTCATACCAGAGCTCCGCGTGGGATGGGATGGGACGCAAAAAATCATCCCATGGGACAGATTTCAATAGCTTGTCCCATGGGATGGGACAAATAAAAAAAAAGTTGTGCCGCCATGGGATGGGATGGGATGAAACATTTTTCGTCCCATCCCATCCCATCCCGTCCCATCCCATGGGACGTCTGAAATGTCAAATGTTTTTTAAGGTGTCAAACTTTTTTGATTATCATCGATCGAGTGAGACTACGAATTATAATATAGTTCGAATTTCTGTTCTTTTTGCATATTACAATAATGAATGACATCACCCTAGTTATAAATACAGCATTTTAAAAAATAGAGAAAAGAACTAGTAAATGAGAAAGGAAAATATTTCATTAAATACAAAAGCAACTGGAAAAAATAAATAAAAGTATAAAGTTTCAGTGTTAAATCATTGTACAACTTTCATATTTTTCATGGAACGAATTATTCAAAGACATTTCACCAGTTATAAGCCACAATAACTAAATCAATTGTTACTGTTTCAATAGATCAAATCGCATTTTTTTCTCTATGCGTAAGTTCATTATTATATTTTGTTGTACATTGAATCGAAATAGCTGCACTAGTTGACCACGTATAGTTTACATTTTTAACTATTTTTCTCACACAGTTGGGTACGACATCTATATTGAAACGACTATACTATTTTTAGTAAAAATGAATAGATTCATATAATATTTCTTCGTCCCATGGGACGATGGGTGGGACGAAGAAATTTTTGTCCCATGGGATGGGACGACTCTCAAAAAATTTCCGTCCCGTCCCATCCCATGAGCTTTTATTTAAAAAGTTGCATCTCATGGGACGTATGGGATGGGATGGGATGAGATTGTCCCATCCCACGCGGAGCTCTGGTTCATACATTCTAGAATGACTCATATCCCCCATGCACTTTTTCCAGTACACATAACTCTCGGATGAAATCCGAAGTTTCCACATTTATTTTCCTGTTCGTTTGGTAAGGACCCTGAGTCGACAAAGCAGTGAGAAAATAGTTAAACAACAGCAAGTGTTACGTGATTGTTCTACAAATTTTTGAACGGTGCTAGATATAGCATTGATACCAGTAGATAGAGAAACATATTCTGTATCGAACTATGTTTTTGGTTTTTCCTGAAAAACTGGCAAGTGAAAAATAGAGGGTGCCAGCACACAATGACGACATAGGGTGTGGATGTGGGCATGGGTGTCATTAGAGACATGGAGTAAATGGACACCACCCCCCCACTTTCGCAACAGATTTTTTGTTAAAAAATCTAATTAATTATATACAATAAATAATTTAAGATAAACAAATTGTTAAATATAAAATTTCTTCGGGTTATACGGGCGGGGCGGATGTGTGTTTGTACGGGGGCAAGCAGGGTGGGGATGCTCACGCAATGTAACTGCGGAGGGTTGGCGGGACGGGTGTTGGAAATTTGCCGGGCGAGCCCCACGTGGTACGAAAATTCTCTGCCCGCACACCTCTGACTCATATAATGAAATATAGAAAAGTTCTTTTTTTGATGGTAATGATGAAATGCCTATTTAGACAAGTAGCGTGACATTAATGCCGCTAATCCTCTACTGAAAGGACATGAGGACGTAAAAAACAGCACCACCACAACGCCTGGGTGAGATACTTTTAACTTGGTAATGATTGTAACGAAAAAACCGAGTGATAACCAAGCTTAAATACAAAACTTATTTACAAGTATCATGAAGCAATCTTCATTTAGGTGCTGATTATCGATACTAAATGAATACAGTGAAATTAGATGCGTCCCAGATAATGAAGCACGAACAGCGTTTAGAAAAATTTCAATAAGCTCGATATAAAATGAAGAAAAACAGTCATCCAGGAGAGCTATCTTCGAAATACTTCGTTTCAGTAAACGATAACTCAAATTAGTCTACACACTCATAGATTAAAAATCGAATCGAACCGTGTTTTTCTAATTTGAGTTCCGTTCGGTCTATCTATATTTTTGTTTAAATCGGTTTAAGTTCGGTTCGGTTCGGTCCGTTCTCGCTCCCTGATGTAAATGTATGCATGCAAGTATGTATGCTCAAAGATGAAGAAACTTAAAACACTTACTTGATTTAATTCATATCCATCTCTCAATTCTACAAACAACTAAATTTATTAAAAACATTTCAATGAATATATATTTCAGATATTTTAAGTGAACTATAGGCAAACTTTTTCATGGTATTGATGCGGAAAAAGTAGCAGATTGACGCCATTTTTGACAATCGTTTCAACTTTTATAATCTACACAATGTGTAAATATTCTGAAAGTTGTCAAAGTGTGTAGCCATAATAACAATAGTTTTTGCGACTAACGTGAGCGACTAATCGCCTCAATTATTAATGTGTTTCGTTCTTGTGATTGTGGCTAGAAAACTTGCTTGGAAGTATCACCAATAAAACGAAATTTAAGTAGTACTTACTAATACTATATGGCAGTAGTGAAGTTAAGTGCATCCGATCCGCTACAGCTCAAGCTATGCTCCGAGAACTTTCGATCCGCTTGATAACGGAGTGAAGAAAACGACCCATTAAGGAGAGCTGTGATTGAAATACCCCATTTTAATAATGTTACAACTCAAATTGGTCTATGAACTAGATATTTAACACGTATCTGCACAAGTAAATCATAGATTAAATCACACTGACTTTTTCTAATTCGATTTCGGCTAGAGTTGTCCTCTTTTTTGCTCAAATCCATCTGAGTTGATTTTGTTTCGGTGTGTTTTCCGTCTGCAATGCATATATTCATTCGCGGGTGCACCCTCACAGATAGATATATTCTAACATTTACATCTTTTGAATCAAATCCACTCGCAGTGATGAAAAACTAAACTTATTCAGATAATTACGACAAATATAAATTTCAAATATTTCACACGAGTTGAGCAATTATTTCATGACCTTTCTTCGGAAGAACTTGAAGATATTTACCATTTTCGAAAATTGTTTCAACTTTTCTGATCGAGACGACGTATCACTATTCTACACGTCTGCAAGGTCTGTAGTCTTATAATCACAACAGGTTCTTAACTGAGCGGCTAGTCGCCTCCATTAGTTTCGTTGTACATATGCGGTGAACGTGATCCTTTTGAACACTGCATGATTGATTGAAAATTTCGCTTCATTATATAATTATTAGATGAAAACAAAGAGAATTTTCAGGAAACCCGAAAACAACTGTGATGGGACTAATTTAATTCAGTTTCATCTACATATGAAAAAAATGACTCACAATTTTGAGAAGAATAAGACAATATTCCTGAGTACTTACAGTTTGCGAACGTTCGTAGATGCACTAATCTAGAATTTTACGTGTTAAGTTTGAATAAATTCTTCGTACTACAATACAAGTTGGCATATCAAGTATAAACTGAAGAGTTCGAAAAAAGTCTTCAACGCCTTAGTGTTTATACACAAAATACAGACATGTAGTTATGTTCAACTGTTTGTTGAAAAGGACCTTAGTGCAGCATTCTTCAAAACTATGTTTGTTTAAATAATCAAATTTTCGTACGCAATGAAACAAGGATATATCCAGGTGAGTAGATAGTCGTTCGTCGGCGACCCTCTGGGGCGCCAATCACGAATAGCCGTTGCCAAATTAAGAATCAATTCCACCGCAAGATGCCTATAGCCGATTCGTAATAAAATTCAATATAAGCATACGATATATACGTATATACCACTATCAACATCATCGAATGGTACCCTTAAAAAGTTTGCCGACAAAGAATTCCTATCACGAAAATACGATGATCTAAACCGCTCCTAATGCATTATAAACTAGCTTGAACTAAGAAAGATTATTAAGCACTTAATATTCGATCCAGCGACAGGCGCTACCTTATTTGAAACGCTTTCGAAATACCAGTCACTCGTCAGTTGCTGGTCACTTAGTTTTACTTTTTCAAAAAGCTCACATGTTCATTCTGTACAATAGGCCTCTGTGCAACCCTCTTTGTTTATCAAAACGATGACAAAATGTTTTTGAAAAAACTACACTTAAAATCGAATGACGCCGCGTCAAAAACTTTCGGTCAAACTTTAAACAACGTCATTGTTTTCCTAATAAAACTCTCTTTCTCTCCCTAAAAAAGGTAGAAAGCGAAACTTCAAAAATCTGTTCTCCGATTCGACTCCCTCGAGCCCGACAGGGTGTGGGTGTGAGTTTCAGTGTGACTATGGGTAACGACAAAACTAGCACGCACAAACCACACGCATACCCTAGAAATCAATAAAATATGGATGCGTATATTTTAGTTGTCTAAATCATAAAGAGAACCATACAACATGATGTTGTCACTGATAACCTGGTTAAAATGACGTCAGAATATTTTTGTACTGCATTCCATCAGCCACGTTTTTTTTATCTATATAATAAGTACGAAAATATTTAGATTGCTGGTATAATAGAAAAGAGTTGATCAACAATGACTTCAAATTCAAATGAAACAAAAACTATTCTAATTGTTGGAGGTGGTTTGGGCGGATTAGCTCTTGCACAACTATTACAACAAGAACTATCGTCTTCGATTAAAATAATTGTATTTGAACGTGATGCTGGCGAAGATGTCCGTGACCAAGGCTACTTTATTACGCTTCATCACATGGGCATTGATGTGCTCGAACGTATCTCGACAGTTGAAGACGCTTTTTCTCATCCATCAACAATGTCTTATAGTCAATATCAATTGAAAGTTGCAGATAAGTCTATGAAAACGACACTTGAATGGACTTCAAGCGAACTGAAAGTTATTGATCGGGCCATTCTACGACGAAGTCTACTTAAAAACATTGATGTTCAATGGAATAAACGATTTGTTTCATATACGATTCTCGATGATGGTGTTGAAGTTCATTTTGAAGATGGATCGACTGCGCACGGTACATTACTTGTTGGTTGTGATGGGGCTAAGTCACTGGTACGAACTCAACTGATACCAGATCTACAACGTTATTATGCTGGAGTTGTTAATGTGGCAGGCACTGTCGAACAAAATGAAGAATTATTAAATATCAAACAGTTAATATCAAATAGTCTTGTACAAGTACTTGGTGACGAAGGACATGGATTATTCTTGATTTCTACTGGACGATTTTGGTTTTGGTCTCTTTCATGGCCGAATAAAAATAGAACAGACGCAGACATTTCTCAAACACAGTTGCTCGATAAAGTTCGTAAACATTTTAATCATGAAGAATTTATTCGTTTAATTGAAATGTCTTCATCCATACATTTGAGTCCCTTAGCTATCTATTCTTTTCCACCGTCGAAAATCAATCCATTTCAAAATAATCCACGAGTAACATTACTTGGCGATGCTGCACATTTAATGACACCTAATCGTGGAATGGGTGCCAATACAGCTTTTGCTGATGCATTGGATCTTGCGAATGTAATATCTGTTGGTCACACCAAATCTTCTCTTGCTGAGTACGAAGAGAAAATGTTTAAGCGTGGTTTTCAGGCCATTCGAGATTCTCTTCAAAGTACACGCACTACACATATGCTAGGGTTGCAAGCTCAAATACGTGATTATGTTATTTGGTTTTTACATTATTTCATTGCGTTGGCTAATTTTATTTCAATTCCATATAATTGGTTTTGGCACAGAATAAACTAAGACTTATTTATTTTTTATTAGCTATTTCAGTACACTTACGAAGATCAATCAGACTCTCGCATAGACCGAAAGAGGCGAGTTTTTCTTCTCACACATTCGAATTTATTAGAATGGCCTAATGAGATCTGTAGTCACGACTAAAAGGTGTGCGTATTTCTGGAACGAGTTTTCTTTGTTTAATTTAGAAACGAAGAGAACCTTCTGATGTTAAACTTCAAGTAGCATTCATTATTTTCTGATAGAGTAAATAGCCAATAGAAAAACAACTAAAAATATCGGCAGTAGTATCACTACGAAATATACAATATTGATTGCAAAAGAAAATTTATATAAAGTCGGATCGAAGTAGGTCGACTGTACAGTTGGTTCAGTGAACTGTACATTGCCATTGTTTCCATAAATCCACACAGAACCCTAAATTTGAATTAAAAGAAGATATGAAGATTATTTTCATAACGCGATTCCTAACTCTAGGACACTCAAATAAACACTAGATTTTAAGTGAGAAAATGATCACAAGGATAAATATATTTATTTGAAATCTTAGCGTACGGCGATAAATCATGCAAATTTGAATAGAAATGATACTATTAATGCAATACATAGCGGGATCTCTACGGTTTTCGATAGCCGCCGGCATTCACTGAGCCATACTAAAGTTGAACACAAATAAAAGTACAATCGTTGCGCAGTTGGCTCTGAGAAAATGAGTTACACCACAGCAAATAAGAATTTTCTAACAGGATTGAATATCCGTCTTGCGATCCTCTGGCCATCGTAATATTATTTACGATCTTAAAGGCAATGAAGTATGCACAAACTTACGACTTGTGATTTTTCTCGGTTTTGGTCGTGAATTACAATTAAAGTTATTTTAAAGTATAATTTTTTTACTTCTGTACCAGTAAGTTTAGATCTAAAATGAGGTTGTTCTGTGTGAATGTTTGATCTCTTAGTACATTGACTGATGAGAAATCTCGATGGCAATATCTGAAACGCTCAATATGTTAATGTTACTATTTCTACATTGCTAAATTTCGTTCTCTCTCTCAAGATATGCCTTCACCTCTGAACTATTCGAATATTGAGAAAACACGGTCTACTTTTAAAATAAAAATGACTGAAAATGAGAAGCGAACAGAAAAACAAGCGATCAACTCCTTGTAAAATTCAATTCTTTTTTTCTCCTAGATAACAGACATATTTACTCCATGTGAAAATTTATTCATGAGTTCGTTCGCTATTTCAAGTAAGTAATTTGTGACGTTGCTCAGGGGCAAAATAAATGTTCTACGACGCAGTAGAATTGGTTAAAAATGAAAAAAATATTCGTGGGCTTTCGTTGTTCTTATTGCTATCGTCATCAGGCTTGTTCATGCAAAATAAAAAACCTTTGTTTCATATTTCTGGTATATAATCTAGAGGAGTGTTTAATTAAATACGGTAGAAATTCGCTAGCTCTTACTCTGCTACATGGATTTTATGATTAATATAAGATCACAAACCATCAATCATAAGTAATATCTTCGTGTAAGATATGAATTGTTTACTTAAAGCACATCATCTTTCAAATTTTAATCCTCGGAATACTTTTCCAATAGGTTTTGATCGAAGAAAATATTCTGTCACATGATATTATCGCATAACTTTTCATCTTCATATTCCCAATGGCGAGAGACAATCGTCTTTGAACATAATACAATAAAAAAAAAGCCTCATTCTATTAATCATCTCTTTTGATCGGTGAGAAAATGAACCGATATGCTGATTGTCTGTTTTTCTATTTTAATAGTGAGTTAAACTAAATAGAACATAATTCAGTTGAAGATAACATATTCAAGCTGATGCATTAGTCAAAAGAATACAAGTTATAAATTAACATAAAATAACAATTAAAAAAGAAATAGTTCGCCTTAATTATGTCGCATCTGATTAGCTATCTATGTTTAGTCAGAGAACAGAAACATATGACTAAGCCAAGAATAAGAAATGTTATTCGAAGTTATTTATCTATTGTACTTTCGATGACATTAAAAGCAGAATAATCTCGCTGAAAAGACAAAATGAGAAGAGACAGAGAAAATAATTTCATATTTTTTTAATATTTGATATTAGAAAATAGAACAACATCATTCTTAACAAACAAAAAACGTAATTTGGCTAATTTTCAACAATGAAGAACGTCGATTAACAAATAGAGAGCTGCACCGGTTTTATGGAAGGCAAGTGGATTAAAAGAAAAGAGAAAATAAGACAACAAAGTAGACTAGAATAATTATTTAGACATGTAAATATAACTATCCATGCTTTTTTCCATAAACAGCTCTTATTATTCTTGAACAGCCTCGAGCCATTTTGGAAAACCAATATAAATTGATAATATCAAGTACAGTACATACAATTATAAGAACGAATCGAAAATGGCCCATGTGTATCCACAGTGGTGTAATCGCAACTGTGTAAACTTTCCACCAATAAATAGGCATTGCTAATATGCGAACAAAAAAGAAAACGAGAGTCATAAAAAGACCATTAAATACAAATGCTTTGGATGTTTTGGAAAATTTCAACGTATCAAGAACCCATCTTTAATAAAATAAAATAAAAAAATCGGAGTAAGAGAAAAAAAATGATTTTACCTGATATTTACTAAAGGCGTTGATAATTCCGCAAGTAGTCGAAAATTAGCAAAATACGGCATAACATTCAATGTTAACACATGTACAAAAGCATAGACAGACACAAGATGATGAGCCATACTAAATGGATCACCAATTTTTTTGTAGTGTATAATATTTATTGCTGTGTCTAAAACAAAAATACAGCCAAGATTAAAAACATTTTTATGTTTTTCAGATTGCATGTGAGATGTAAATAATTTCAATAGCTGCATTATTAGAGCTCCAGAAATCAATGAGAATATATATATCTACCCATGTTTTAATTCACTTAACACACAAAAAAAGCTGTGCACCTATCAACATTGACAATTGAGTTATGACTGTTTCAATGAACTTTAAAGCAGAAACAGAATATTTATTTGCGAAGGTATTCAATTTCCGTCAACAATTGAGTTATGTCATGAAAATTGAGTTTACTTGGAAATTTGATATGTTGACAAAGGAACTTTGGCTTCCGCTGCAAGCCTCGTAAAATTCATCGGTGTGATGAGCAAGCAGTGAGAGTAAGACTTTAACTATTACTTTTAAACGTTAATCGATTCAGCATGCAATTGGTAGGAAAAAAATAGCTAGTGTGTCAAATGTGTGTTTTCAAGGCTATCTCAGCCTGCTGTTGCCTCAAAATTTCCGAATTCATACTGATTTAACATTGAAAATATAATAGAAAAGAATCTATTATTTGATATATCGAATTAGAATGACTTACCACTTAGTAAATATCCAATGACAATGCATAGATTTGTTTTTAACAAATAACTTTTGTACCTAGAATAATAAAAATGAACATTAATGAATCGAATAAAATTTCGAAATTCTTCTTACAAAAGTGGATTGACTTCAAGTCCATGATCAGCAATCATCATATATATACAAATACTACCAACAGTAAGTGAGTTAATGGATGAATTAATTCTAAAATATCATAAAATGATCTATTGAATTTTAATTCTATGAAAATTTACCTTGTACTCCAATCAATTTTTTGTCCATCAGTAAAATTTTTATAATCTTTGATTAATAAATTTGATAAAATCGGATTAATAACTTTATAGAGAAATATAAACAAAGTAAAACTTGTAGCTGCAACGGGTAAAAATGTTGGATCAAATTTGATATTAAGCATTTGTTCGAAATTATACGTCGAGAAATATGTTTTCGTCGTCATTGTTGTTGTTGTAATCATTATTTATTTCTAATTAATTTTATTTCACTATACATTAGATCTAAAAAGAATCATGTAATCTAAGTCACCAAAGATTTTTATTTTCATCGATAATTATAACGATAACAAAATCAAATCAAGACAAACTCGCTTACCTAATGTATTCAAGTGCTGATTATGAATATATATATCGTGTATGGATTTATTTTTATAGCAAATATTTATTTAAAGAAAAAAAAATCACTAAAACTAGAATGCGGCTTATACTGAGACGACACGTGGGTGACTCATAAAAATATTTATTTCTAACCAATGAATTTGTTTCTGACAGCAAACAGATGTCGTACTCGCCTTGAAGAAAAATCTCTTTTGTTATTCACCGAATAGTATTTTGCTGATCATAACCAATAAATATCGTAAGCGAGTGCTCGTAATACTTCGTGCCTTAAACTAATGAGTAAGGAAAATAACGCTGTTCAGTGAAAAATCTGTATCAGCAATTAATTACTCCAATTTTTGTAATGGGGCAACAGGTTACCCGCTTGAGTAGATTCCGCTACTTTTAGGAATCTATTCGTGTTGAAGCGACCTAGCCCCAATGAAAAAATAGCAAAGGAATTGTAAATATCTTCGATTTAATTTATTATTGTGAACACCAAAAAAAAAGAAGAAGAAACCACAAAACAAAATGAAAATGAACAAAATATAAATCTCATATGTTCTGAGCATTTATCCGTGCACATCCAAATGTCATTGAAATAAATAATACAGAAATTTAAAAAGAAAGAAAACGCATGAATATAAACACAAGAAGAAGAGAAAAAGAATTTCATGATCGCAGTTGATTTCCTAACTATGCATCTGAATGAGAATAAAATTTATTTTAAAATAAAAAAATCTGACATTTGATTTTAAGATCGAATTGAAGTCGTTGCTTCATAATCAAGCATTTGATCAAGTTCACGATTGAGATCAGATAGCATTGAATCAATATCAGATAAAACATTTGTTGCATCATTTCTATAGAAAATAATTTCTCATCATTACCGTGTTATATTACAAATGAAGGAAAGATAAAAATTTTTAAAATAGTAAACATGTGAAAAAAAAACATCGAATAAGAGGAACCAATCGCTCAACTTCTGACCTTTTCGAAACATGTTATGGACATCAAATCTATTTTCTTTTATCTCTATAGTAGGCAATTCTCAATAAAATCGAATTACTATTGACCTTTTTGTATCCTGTTGAATAATTAATGAGAACGTTCATTGGCAGTATCTTTTTTATCTAGTTGTTATTTCAGAAAAAGTATGTCGAGCCAGCTGGCTTGAGTAGATTATGTGTGAAATTCTATTTTTTTTGGTTCCGATCCCGATGACTTACTTGACTGTTTTATTGTCTGTGGTTTTTTTCGATGTTTCAATAAATTGTAAATTTTCATCGGTATTGACGGATAATATATCTCGTTCATTTGTTATTAACGATGGTTTTCGTATTTGTCTATAAGGCGAAATTGGAGTCTTACGAGTGCAACGTTCATTATTATCATAAATAGGCGTTGTTGTTATTGCATGAATTGTTGCTGGTTGGAAAAAGTCAATAGGTAACCCACGTTTCATTGTATCAAATGGCTGTTTTACTGTTAACGCATTATAATGATTTACTGATGAACGCTGTTTAATTGTTCCCATGTTTTCATTTGCAAATGGAATACAATTCGTTGAATCTGTACTTGATGATAGATTCGTATCATTATTTGATCCTAAATTATTCATCATAGGTGAAATTTGTGCATATTGAGATGTAACTGGTTTATACTAAGAATACAAAGAAAACATATTCATAGTCTCTAGGAGTCAATAAAATATTTTACTTGGCTGATATGTGCTTCTAATTTTCGTTGATTCATATTAATATTTTCTAAGCTGCGTGTTCGACTTGTTGACATTGGTTGATAATTATTAGTAGATGAATTCATTACTGCTGACGACAACGGTGGTGGTAAACGAAAGGATAACGCTGGCATGTGAGTTCCAGCTGATCCATTACATTGTTTACTACTAATTAGAGAATTCGGCGAACAATGAGGTTTTCGAAGAGTTGCATAAGCCGACGAATCACCATTTGCTGTCGGACGAATAAATTGATTGTGCTCTAAAGAATTGCAACGTTCAATTGTTGATTTACTTTGTTTGATTGATGGATTATTAATTTTATTCGGATTGGGTTGATAGTGTCCTTTGTCAATATCAATGAGACGTTTAATACCAAGCATAAAACGTTTCTGATGGCCTAAACGTGTAATACCGATATCTTCCAGGTCTTCCCAAGCAATACTAACTATATCTGATAACATTTTATAATTTTGTTTATTTAATAATGGCATATATTCATCGAGACGAAGATAATAGAGCCAATCATAGAGTGTATCAGGTTTAAAATCCGGTAAACCGTCTGGTAAATGTAAACGAGCAATTTCATTTTTGATTTTCCTACGATGCGATGGATGCGTAATACCAATCGCTGTTAGATCCTAAAAAAATTTAAACGACCGTCTTTCCGTCGACAAAAAAAAAATAACCAATGTGAGATTTACTTCAGGTGTCATTCGAACAATAGTTTGTATGTCATAACCATGAGTTATGAAATTTTCTGCATAATTTTCATAGGAAAATTCTCGTAGCCATGTATAGACAATTTCATTTTCTGGTATTCCGTTACGGAGGAGTTTATTGATATTCAATACACCAGATTCATCTAAGCTACTGCTCGAACTTCGATAGCTTGTTTTATCGGGATCGGATGATTTCGATTCACTGCTTGATATAGAACGAGCATCGCCAATACTCATAAAACTTGATAGAGCAAGAGTCTAAGAATAGTAGAAAAGATTTTTTTAATCAAATACTGTTCAATTTTTTGAATGTTTCTTACTTTTGGACTATCGTATATAAGCGTTGAACTTCGGCCACTATCAATACTGCTTGCTGCACTGTGACGATAGATATTATTCATTGGACTGTGATGTCGCGCACGTGAATTCCAATTCGAGATTGTTGTTAAAGCTGAATCTACTTGGGACGATCGTGACATAGAATCGGTATCGCTGAAAGAATGATTGTCAGTGCACGGCTGAATTTCTTTACCATTGGTTACTAGAAAATAAAAAAACGAAGCAATATGTTTAAGCAGACGAATACAGAAGAAGAAGAAGAGAAAACAATAACACACAACTGAAACCACCAGGCCTTAAAATAACATTGCTATTGATTGTTTTAGTTGTTATTAATAGTCGATTATGAGGTTTGGAATTGAGAAACAAAAGATGAGGATTTTGAGAAGCATAAAGACCTTGATGGATAACATATATGCAATCAATCAATGCAACATACAAATAAACAACAAAGAATATTAGAAATCATAATGAAGATAAATTAATAGAACATCTTGTTCTCATAATAAGACAAGCTTAACAAGGGAGATCATACTTGACTTTCTTTATTTAATTGCTTTCGTTACTCTTTAATATCTATCTCGCTTAGAAAATATTCAACGAAGGTTTCAGTAGTGGCAGATGCTTTCTATCATAGTAAGTAAGTCTTAGAAGACATCTCGAAGGAACTCGCAATGACGTTCGTATTGCTCGAGTTTTAAAATGAATGTTATGATCGGTGTTTCCTGACTGTTGAGATGAAGACTTTCTATTGAGGTCTTTTCTTGTAAAAATAAAATAAAATAAGATTTTCGAGAATTTTTGCCTGTTCTATACTTAGAAAATTTCTTTCTCTAGACGCTGTTGTTATTCCAATTGTTTCCTGTCGATCAGATAAAAAAAGGAGAAGACTAAGATAGATATCATTATGATTGATGTTTCTTTCTTATGATTTCTAATGTCATGTTTTAATCAAATGCACACAATGCTCACTGTTTCTAATCAATTGAACATATGTACTCGGAAAGTAACCCGTCCGAGTGGTAAGATCTTCTTGTAGAATAAAACCACGCCATTGACCTGTTGGATTACGATCAAAAACCTAAAATAAACCAATCATCTTTCCGTGAGAAAAATAAAATAGATTTTCGTTTACAGTTATACAATCGCCTTCATTAAAATTCAAAGCTCCAACATGATTATCGGCATATGATCGGATAGCTCGAACCAATATGGCATCAGAAAATTCTGGAATTAGATAAAATAAATTGTCAAATTTTCCTAAAATTTAAAATCTAACCTTTTATTAATCGTTTAATATCATTACCACTTTTCTGTTTGATCACTACTTCATAAGCTGTTTGCTCGAATGTATTACGAAGATTAACATCAATGCCACATTCTAATAGTAATTTAGCTGTTTCATATCGTCCATTTCTACATGCAACATGCAATGCAGTGCCATCATTCATCGTCACGCGATTAATGTCGATTCCATTCATTAATAATAATCGAACAATATCAGTATGACCATTTTTTGCTGCTAAATGTAATGGTGAACATTGTTCATTAGTATTAGTTAAAATCATCTGTTGGCACAATCGATTATGTACGAGTGAATTCACTACATGAAAATGCCCATGTTCGCATGCTAATTCGATTGGTGTTAGTAAACGACGATTTAACAATGTTGGATCGGCATGATGAAACAAAAGTAATTGTACGATTTCATGATGGCCGTACTGACTTGCCAAATGTAATGATGTGTCACCATCGAATGACTGTTCATTAACATGAGCACCAGCACGTAAAAGGATAAAAACTGATTCGGTACGACCTTGCCACGCTGCATAATGTAATGGACGAAGACCTTTCGAATCTTTTAAATTTGCATTTGTACCGTTTTCAATCAGCAGCTTCAATTTTTCGCTGTTACCCGCCACGGCTGCTTCGTGGATCGAGTTCATTCTAAATAGAAAGAAAAATAAACCTTGAATCGTAATTATATAGAAACAAATAACCGAGGTTTTCTATTTTATTTAATTATTATATAGAGAAATAACTGCACGCCATTATATATTTAGCCTTTTTTTTCGATGTCAACGATGTGATCTATGTATGTGCACTTAAGATTATGTAAACCTTTGGCACTAACTGAAAAGATTGCGTGCAGGAAAATAGGAAAGATGCATATAGAAGAAATGATCAGTATGATGAGACTCGATGCAGGCTTTGCTTTCGAAGGTTAATTAAAGAGAATATCGATATAATTGAACACACAAAAAATGATCTAGCTAGTAAATACTACGGTGACCTCATACAACATCTCTTGAGATGACATGATAATTATCATTTTATCGGTGCTTGACCTATCTCTTTCTGGTGATCTTCTTGTCTGTCACTCGGGAATCAGCCAATAGTTTATTCGTGATACAACAAAACTGAAATTGACAGGAACAATTTACTGCTCAAGCTTTACATTTTTTTCTTTGATCAGGCACTTTTTTTTTCATCTAACCGATCAACAGACTTTCATAAATAAATATAAACAAAAGGATGAGAATGAATGTCGAAAATGATTAGTAACAAGAACGATTGAGTGTTCGAACAGTTTTTTTCATGTTGAACTTATACATACGACTTGATAGGAAGAGAAGAAGAATAGATTAATGTTGATCCTCTCCGCGGTTTTTTTTTGTTCTGAATGTGATAACATAGAGATCTAACTTATCTCAAGGAAATATTTAAGTGGCGATAAGAATGTGAATAAAGACAAACATATAAAAATATCTTAGCATGTTAATTAAGACGACTGATCAATATAGAATAAGTCCTTTTCTTTTCCTGTAGCTACATACTTATCGCAGTTCTTATACAGTTTGTGATGATAGTTTTGTTCCGAGTTGTGAAGAGAAGAATTAGTACTAGTCGTAGTTGTATCTGATAGATTGTTAATGATCCCGAAATATAACATTCGAGTTAGTCTAATAAATAGGCGGCAACATATATGTATTTTTTATGCTCTCCAATTATGTACAACAAACGACGACCTTTTTTTTATAATGGTTGGGGTCGGGAGTGCTAGTGGTAGCATTTCTCTTTTTCTTTCGATGTCCTTCTTCTTACTCCAGGGAGTATAAGAGAAGGATAAGCAAAGAACATGCGCTGTCGAGCGGTTAATCTCTTGATCGTCGTAATGATACACCAACAATTTAATGTTCGCACATTAAACTTCCGTTTTTTTTCTTTCTCTCTTACGGTTGAACTTACATAAAGTGAATAGACTTTATATCGAAGAAGCAAAAAAAGTTCCGAATATCATTCTTCCTCATTATATTCAATTATATTTGAATATTTCGTCTTACTCTTTTTTTTCTTGTTGTTGTATGAATGACATCATCCATACACGTAATCTTTTTCTCTCTGCATGAAAACTATCATCTCGTATTTGTCTGTCTATTATAATCAACAAGACTAAACAAGCACACGAAGTGAATACCCAGGAACAACAATATCAACCATATGGACAAGAAAAGCGTATGCGGTCATTCATTGCGAAGCAGTAACATGTGTAATCAGTATCACTAAAGCGTATGAATAAGAAACAAGCGATCATGATGATTATCTCATATTTTCCCATCATTACACTCTTACAACTATGCATATCAACAACAGAAAAACACATCATTGATTGAATACTAGTTTGCCTTTAGTCATCAACAAGGATACCATCATACGCATAGAAAGATATTCATGAAAAAAAAATTGTCCAGCAATAGAACTTCTCGTTATAGGATGCAAACATATTAACATTTCGGATAACTTATATAATCAATTTTTTATTTATCCGTTATAATCTTAGACATTCGAATTGATCTTTTCGGGTGATATGATATCAAGGAAATGAGAGTGAGCAAAAAGAACACAGACCGATTCAGCTCGCTATTCGGTATTTCTAGATGTGTAATACGTTGATGATTTGATAGCATCTAATAATTCATTTTTACGTTTCTTATTCCTATTGGATCTATCCATCAATGAGGATGAGAGATATCACACATGTTCACAACAGTGATATATTGTTTAGCTTAGCAAAAAATCAAGTGTCAATCAGAACAAAAGAGAGCAAGAAGAAATAAATGTACTCGAGAGACAAAGTCTCTTGTGGAACTTTGATTTCTCTTTTGAGATCAATGATTGAATGAATCTTAATGGTTTAGAATGTTTTATTTATGTAACAAATCATTCTTTTTTCTTTCTTTATTGTTGGTTAATAGATTGCAGCTCATCAATAAACTAACTATGCTCTTTTTTTATTTGCCGTTGCGATGAAATTTAATGATAGATGGCGTCAACGAAATTCAACTTCAAAAGTCTACAAAAAGAAATCCGATAGGAGCAGCAATATTCACTAGTATTGTTTACAACTTTCGCAGGCTACATCATGTATTTAATTGCATCGATACATACAAACAATTTTTTAACATTGTTCTGTTTCTACCAAAACATGTACATTTTTCTTTCTTTCTTTCATTTTGTTACAATATTTTTTTTGCTCTTCTAATAAAAAATAAAAAATAACCGATGGCATCATCCTTGTCAAATATGAAACAATCATGTGTAAAATGTGATAAAGGTGGTGGTATAGCTATATGTTCTGGATGTCAACAACAGTTTTGTGTCAAACATTTTATTGAACATCGACAAGAACTTGCAACACAAATGGATCATATTGGACAGCAGCATGATGCACTGCGGCGAAATCTATCTGAAGAAATTGTAGAACATTCACTTCTTGCTCGTATTAATATATGGGAACAAGAATCGATTACAAAAATTCAAGTAGCTGCCGAAGTAGCACGAGTTGATCTTCAACAACTAGTTGATCAAACAAAAGATGAACTAAAAACGTCACTCGATAAGATAACTAGCGAACTACAATTGAGTCAAGAACGCGATGATTACACAGAAATCGATCTTAAGAAATGGTCAAATAAATTGAAAGAATTTCGAGCACTTCTTGAAACACCTGTAAATATCGACATTCTATTTGATAATCATTCACAATCATCGATTGATTTAATTAAAATTAATCCGCCATTGCATCCTTCGATTTCAATGTATTCATCGTTAGAATATAAATTGCCGCATTCTCAAAAATTCAATGTACCTTATACACAGGAACGATTTGACAAATGCTACGGACCTGTTATACTAACAGACAAAGATTGTGCTGGTAAAAACATCGGCGATGAATATTCGAGAATATGTGGTATCAATCAATATTCATCGGGTGTACATCGAATTCGTTTTCGAATCGATGAGCGAACCAATTCTTGTCCGTTTCTAGGTATTATTTCATCATTGGAAGGATTAAGTCTACGGAAAATGACCTTACCATCAGCGAATGGATGGTCGGATTTAGAACAGCTTGTTGTTAACGGTAAAAGTCTCAATATAGGTTGTTCAAATCAAATAATTCAATCAGGCGATGAAGTCACACTGATATTAGATTGTGAACATCGAGAAATTCTACTTGAACACCATCGAACAAATAGATTTGTTCGTCAATTGATTGATATTGAAGAATGTCCATTTCCATGGAAAATACTCGTGGCATTATCGCCTCGCAATGGATCCATACGCATCATTTCTTAGTGATAAAAGCACAATGTTTCTCATGATTTATTAATACGATACACGACGAACATAATTCAAGCAAAAGGTTAATTTTTTTCAAGCTTCTGTGGAAATTAGATTAGTATGATAGATGTTCTGTGATAGAAACATTTGTCATCTATAGATTTTGAAATAAAAGTTTCTCATGAACGAGTGTATCTATACATAGTGTATCTATGTATTAGTGATTGACAACAGTCTGCGACATATATAAGAAAAGAAAAGAAAAGCAATATCAATATGAATCATCGTACAGTCAAAACGACTGTTGCAACCAAGGGCAAAAGTAATCTGCTGAATATGATTCAAACGAATTAGACATTCTACGCCAAAAAAAAGGATTCGATCGACAGAGACAATCGATTTGCATTGGTTGGGGATCTTTTTTTTATCGCCCAAGTCTCCCGTTGTTCGATACTATACAAGTGGTTTAGCGCCTTCGTTCAAGAATCAAAGTAGCATGTCTACAAGCGATTATAATCCTTCATAAAAATGGCTGACGTAATTTTTTCTTTCCAGTTTTCAAAAACACCGAATGCGAAAAAATATGTCTTCCTCCTACAACATATTTTCTTTTCTTTACTAATAGCTGGTTTTTTCTTTCGTTTTCAAAAAAACCCACTTCCACTGAGGAAATAAACTCTTATATAAATGCAATAAAACTCGGCAAACGTATTAATTTACATTTCTTCAGATCACTTTAACATGGCATCCGGATTCATTAACAAAACTTGCATGTCATGCAATGTAGGTTTAATAACTGCTATGTGTTATGAGTGTAAAAAAACTTTCTGTACGAAACATTTCGTTGAACATCGAGAAGAACTTTCTCAACAAATGAATAATATTTGTCAAGAACATGACATCCTATGTAGAGATCTGGCACATGAATTCAGTACAACACATCCTCTATTAGCACAAATCAATCAATGGGAACAAGAATCGACTATTAAGATTCAAGCAGCAGCGAATGCAGCGCGTATTAAACTTCAACAACTACTTGATAGAAGTAAAAATAGTCTCGACGCATCAACTAGTAAGATAACTAAAGAACTTGAATCTAGCCGAACATCAAACAATTACACTGAACACGTTATAAAAACATGGAGTGATCGATTACAAGAATTGCGTACGTTACTCAATCATCCAACCCCTATTCACATCGATTATGAAAATAACTTGGAATCAGAGATTCGCCTGATCAAAGTGACCGATGAATCATTAACAGGTTATTTTGACGGAACATCGCACAGACATGAAATTAATAACGAATGTTCTCATAACCCGAACTTCTGTTTTCGTGAAATATTCGATGATGTTTCCGGGAAAATCATATTATCAGAAGAAAATCGTGTAGCAACATGCTTAGGTGATTATCTAGATAGATCGTGTGTCAGTTGTCTTGGTCGATATTCATCCGGAAGACATACTGTTCGTTTTAGAATCGAAAATGCTGACATGACTCATCATATGTTTTTTGGAGTTGTTAATTCGTCTGAAAAACTTGTGAAAGATTTAGCGAATTCAAAATCATTCTATGGTTGGTGGGACCTTGCCTATTATGTTGTTGGTGGTAACAAGAAAAAGTACGACTCAACTAAAACGCTTCGAACAGGAGATGAACTTAGATTTGTACTGGATTGTGATAACAAACAAATTATACTTGAACATCACAGAACGAATATAATTCTTAATTTAGCTATCGACATTCAACTATGCGTATTTCCTTGGAAAATTATCGTTTTACTACTTGATAAAAGCAGTTGTGTGAAAATTCTTCATTGAAATAATTTTATCCTTAAATCTTCTTTATAAAATAAAGTAATAAAAGAAAATCGATGAGTTTCCCTAATGATCTTCAGGGGTGCTGGTTGGTTCGGAAGAAATACTTAATAACAAACTAATGAGCACTTCAGTAGTGTCAACATGATTTCATCAAAACGGACTCCTATGTATAGGTCGATTTCTTTCGCCGTGTCGATATACTATTAGAGGCGATTCTTCTTCTTCTTGTCGCAGACACTTGTCTTCAATCTTCCTTCGTTAAATTCTACTTTGTCTTAAAAGCATTTTAAGGAAGTTCTTTGGAAAACAAATTTGAGATATTTGTAGCTCATTTAAGTTTTGATGCTACGAAGATTTCCTGACACGAATTAATTAGGAAACTTTCTTCATCATTAAATTTACAGTGCTGCCAACTGCCCATTCGATCAATGATAGTGACGAATAAATCTATCGTGATGGGTATATATCAACTTATGTGAGAAATACTCTTATTTTGAAAGATCAACATCAGATACCTTTGATAGATATTATCTGTTCGCACACAATGTATCTTAGGCTTCTCGAGAAGTGCACCTTAGAAAGTATTGTTCAAAACTAACTGATATGAAAAATGTTTTAGAACCCGTCGCTGTGTTTCTATTCAAATGACTTCATCTGAAATATCCAATTATGGATTGCACTCGTACAATACAACGACAATAAATAGACTAACGCTTTTTTGTCACGAATATTTTGATAGACGATGTCAACCAATACTACATTTCTAATTGTTATTTTACAATAAGAATCTTCTATTTCATAGTACTTACCTAGAAGCAAGGATAGATTAAGTAAGTGTAATTGAGTCCAAAATGAGTTAGATATGATCTAGAATAATTACTGAGGCAATCGAACGGCCAACAAAATTTTGCTTGCAATCTACTTCATCAATAGATTCAATGAAAAACTCCAAAAAACAAAGTAACTACTCAAAAGTTGAATGAGAATTTTTACAAAATTCAATGTGTCTCTACAGTTGGACGTCAAGGTGACGTCTCGAATCATCTTTGTAACCAACCACAACCAATTATTTGGAAATTTAAGTATCTCAAGAAAATCGGATTAATAAAGAGAAGATTATTTTTTCATAATAAAATCATTAGTAGTGACTGAGCTCGTTGCAGTAGTATTATTTCTTTTTTCAGTACGGTACTAGCATTATATTCAAATCATTAAAATGGATTGCAAAAGAAAGAAAAAGCATACTGATCACCGAACCAATTACACATCACTCAACAGGCAATACAAACGGTTTCGTCTGCTGCTTCATGGCGATTACTATGGAAAATAAACTGTGACGAGAATTGTTTGCTGAAATTGCAGCATGCTTTTGTTTTCAACTATTGAAAGGCATGTCTATTTTTATTGTTATGCTTATCTTGATCAACTTCAACCGTCTCCGTTTTTTCTTTCTCTTTCTCTCGTCTTTTTTTTTGAAATTGCCTGACAAGGACAAAAAATTTACGTCTACTATTGCTTCGACATTCGTCATCGTCTTACTTTTTGTTTGCTTTCAATAAGCGAAGGTTGCATCAATTTTTGTGTTAGTGTACATTAAATATCGATTCAACATCTGTCGAATATACAACGATGAAAAAAAAATGTGTTAAGTGTAAAAAATTCGGCCAAATATTTACATGCAATGGATGTCGAGAATTATATTGTGATAAACATATTGCTGAACATCGTGAAGAATTATCGCGTAAGATGGATGAATTTGACAAAGATTATCATCATTTTCAAGAAGATTTAAATGAAAATGGGATTATTCAAACTTATCTATCTCGTATTGATCAGTGGGAACTGGATTCAATGAAAAAAATTAGAAAAGCCGCTGAAACAGCTCGCCATGATTTATCGAAAATGTTCGATCGAATGAAAAATCAATTGAAAACAACTTGCAATGAAATAAATGTTGATATAGAATCAAAACAACAAGAAAAGAAGTATTCAGAAACCGATCTAAATAAATGGATCGAACAATTAGAGCAACTACGAAATATTCATAAAACTTCATTTACTGATGAGATTATTGATGAACAACAATCGTCGATTCAAATGATTAAAATTGTCGATAGAAACGAATCGTTTTCGATTGATGAATTTCACTCGTACCCTCCGGAAAAATTCGATAAAATCGTCGGTAAAATTACTCTATCCGATGGGCAACGTACAGCAAAATGTTCAGGACGTAAATGGAACGGTTCAGATGTTAGCGGTAAAAATCTCTACTCATTGGGTGTTCATACTATTCGTTTTCGAGTTAAAATCGAAGGAAAAAATAATCCTTTCTTCGGTATTACGTCGTCTGTAACAGCATTGAATCCGTATAATCAAAAAACTCCCTATGCTTACGGTTGGTGGGAATTACCGCTCGATAAAAATGAACCAGACAAAAGCAAAGATCAATCTATTCGAACAGACGATGAACTAACATTAACATTAGATTGTATTAATAGTCAAATTCAATTTGAACATCATCGAACTAAAAAAATTGTTTATGAATCTATTGCACACGAACTATGTCCTCTTCCATGGAAAGTTGCAATTGTTTTGTATTCTCCAGGTGATTCTGTTAGTATTTTATCATAAGAAATAAAATATTATAGAAGAAAAAAACATTAAGCCACTTTATTGCTTCATTTACATTTACAAGACAAACAAGAAGAAGGCTTTCGTTTTATTTCTTATAGAGTTTCATCGTTAAACTTGATTTATGAAGTTGTACCCATGTAATGTTCAATGGTATTGAGTACTTGTTCTGTGATTTCTCTTGCTAAGTCATCACATAGATTGATAATTATTGGTAAATGTTTTGTTGATATTGTTATGTCATCATGATTTAAATTCATTGAATCATATTGAGCCGTACAGTCAGACATCAATAATCATTTGTCAGTAGAATATACTAAAAAGAAGAAAAAAAGCATTAGCGCTCTGTTTATGCAACTCAAATGTACTGATCATTAGAGTGTTGTTATTATTCATGTGCATGAATGCGTTTTCCGACAGCTAATTGACTGGCAAAACATGCAGTAACCGACTGAGAACGTGTCCGAATAGGAAAAATAAAAGATTGGGTTGTTTTTTTGTACTAGCAGTAAATTTTCCGAGTGAATAAACAACTTTTGAGAGATTCCAGATGTATGGAATTTAGTCCTATAAATGGTTAGCATGAATCAATAAAGCACAAAGAGCTAGAATTTATTATATCAAAGCAGTTTATGCTAATTGGAACTCGTATGATATAATTACTATACACTAGATTTCAGTTACTGTTAATCGACCAATCAAGAAAACAAAACTTCACTTATGCTTATCAACCTGTACGAATATCGAGTATTTCGAGTTTAGAAAAATAAAAGGCAGTTAGTTGTGAACACATATGCTGTCGTGTTATTTCTCACTAGGGAAATCAGAGAAGTCATTTTTTGCAATTGGCAACGATAAGAACACTTTGAGTCAACTTAATATCACAATAAATGGCCTTTCCAAGATAATATTGAAAAAACAATGAATACCGTTGAGTTAATTATATCATCAATAATTCCTAGGAGATCAGCATGGATTTCTTCGCAACGCTCGTTTGAAGACAACTTCTAAATGTACTATTTTGCTCAGTTAAGATATGCATTCGGGTTCTAATATTTCTGCCAATGTCCGAAAATATAGTTCAATCTAGTTATTTCTCTCCCAATCTCGCTATTTTTGAGTAGAACTCGTCAAAATTTTTTCTTCTTCTCATTTCAGCAAATAGCATCCGGGTCAATTCATACAGATATCATTTTTTGCAAACTATCCTTATTATAAACTAAAGTTAGCCATTTTCTTAATCGAGTACGAAACGATGAATTTTCTTCAAGACTAATAACTATAAAGATTTGATCTTGCGATCGAATCAAACGTTTTCTTCTACCATTAAACATAACATTGCATAGAAAAAACAAAATATCAGAGTACAAGATTTGAAGTCCTATCTATGCATAACTTATATTCTAAGTCAATGTATTGTACCCGAAAATGTTTTTCAACCCTCTAAATCCACATGGCTGAAAATTATAGTCTAAATATATTATTGAATATGTTTCTTTTTTTTTTCCTATAGTTTTATTTTGGCCTACCTTATAAGAGTATACAAGTGTAATAAAATAAAGTAAATGAAAGTTTTCTGTTACATGGTGCGTTGTGTTCCATGTCGTGCTAAAATATAATCGATGGGTTACGGTTTCTTTTTCTTGTTCTATCATTCATGTCACATCATTTATTTCTTAGCACATTGTGTGAGTGTTGAATTTTATTCGCAACTAAACCCAAGAGTAACTTTATCATTCTATTTTATACGACTTCATTGATTTTTGTGTTTTTGCATAAAAATGAAGAACTAAGCACTGCGCAATAAAAATTTACTATCGATGTTCTTTAGAAAAATAAATATAGAAACAAAATGGCGTGACTTACTAAGCCCGAAAGACGCATATTACCACGATATTTTTACTAAACTAAGTGAGTTCTGCTGAGAAATAAATCCAATGGTTGTTTTTTAATGTAGCACACGGAGTTTCCATCTCAAACTCGCAGTTCATTATTGCTGTATTATATTATACGATGTATAATCTATGCTCGTAGGCGTAAATATCTGTCCTCCGGAAAAGAAAATCGGGATGAAATAGATAATCCTATCAATTGAATTAAGTTTTTCCTTTAATTGTAAGACATAGCTAATAGACTTAAAGATTACCTTGAATTCGAATTAGCTTTTCAGATTAAAAATCAAGTATTTATTTTATTGAAAAAAAACAAACTGTTATTTTAATTTGACAATTAGATTTCAAGCACAAAAATAATTAGTACATGTTCCACTAGTACATTCAAAGCCATAAGTACATGCCACACTACTTGCTTTCTTCAGAATACAATTAACAGTAACGATATCAAGATAGTATGTAGCGGGACAAGTACAGGTTCCAGCCGGACAAGTCAGTGGACTCGAACATTCACTACTGGCAACTGTACACGCTTGACCTGCGCCTAATGTTCCAATGCAAGCAGTACCACTCCAATAAGTGCCTGTTGCACATGAACATACAGACGATGTACAAACAAGTCCAACAAGGTCATTACATGTCGAACTCGTCGAGCACGTTGCTAATACCGTTGATTTTGTCGTACAAGTAGCTCCTGTAGAATTATAAAAAGCATTGGAACTACATTGACATAACCCGCTTGTCGTTGATGAGCAAGTAAGACTTAGTGCTGATGAACATTCACTTGTAACAAATATATTGGCAAGACATGTTTGTCCGTATGTTGAATAAGTTATACAACTATTTAAAGTTGCATTGTAATACGTCGTTGCTGTACATTGACAAATACCCAATCCACTACATTGTCCATTTGTGGGACATTGAGTAGTTGCTGTACAAGAATCGTATAGATATTTCTGCTGTACACACTGTGTAGTATTCCAATAGTAATACGTTGGACAAACACACAATGATGTTGTTGCACTACATGAAAGACCTGCGGTTGTATCACAGTAAGGTCCGGACACTGAATTGCAAGCTGCATTATGTGTAGCACGTGTTAAACATGTACTTCCAGTATAATACTGCGATGTTAGACATTGACAAATACTTGATACACAATATAATCCTGTTGCGCATTGTTCCTGTTCAGTACAAACTGCTCCATATGATTTTAATGCTGCACATTGCGCTGTTGTAATATCATAGTAATAAGATCCGTTTGTGCATTGACATCGAAGTGTACTAGCAACATTAATACAATTGGCATTTGTTATGCAAGGTGATTCAGCAACCGTACAGGTATCGCCCGGATAAAGTCGTGATTTGCAACGAGCTGATGCTGTTGAATAGTAATATGCTGATGGACATAAACAAATTCCAGATGTTGTACATTGCAATAATATAATATCATCACAATACGGACCAAACGATGAACATGATTGATTATATAGAACTTTGTTTAGGCATGTTTGATTTAATGTATAATAATATCGAGTATCGGTTCCACATAAACAATAAGATACGCCATTGACACTTGTACATATTAGATTATTAATACAATCGGCTGTTAGCGAACACGATTCATTGTATGTTCTTGGTGTTATACATCCTCCGTAGAAAATTGAATATGTTGTGCCACCTATACATTGGCATATCAGAGTACCAGTAACATTAATACAATGGGCATTTGTCATACATTGATAAGACGCGGTACATACGTTGCCAACATGTTTCGCCCGATCACATGTATCTGTGTTGACATTGTAATACCACTCGGTTGGACATCGACAAACTCCACCAATACATACAGCCGTACTTATACAATTGCTATCTGCATAACCTAGATTTAGTAAAAATAAAATAACAAGCTTTCAAGACGATGATTATTCTCAATAGTACGTACAAGTATCTTCATTAGGTTCACCTAATTTTTCACATTGCAATGTTAATGCACTATAATACCCAGTTGAATTACATGTGCATACACCTGAAATGCATTCAAATGTAAAAGCGCATTCAACATCATATGTGCATGATTGTCCATAGGTTTTGTCCAGGGCACATCGTCCTGTTGTTGGACTTGGATAATAATTTGTTATACATCGGCAAATTCCATTGGTACACAACGCATTTGTAAAACATTGATTATCAGCTGAACACGAACGACCAATGCCTACTTCTGTAATACACAAGCCAAGTGTACTATCATAAAAATATCCTGTACTACATAAACAATAACCACCCGTGCAAACAGCATTATTCATACAAATTGATTGTGATGAGCAACTCTCATAGATTGATCTTTTTCGTGTTCCTAAACCTATGCCAACGCCAAGAACAGTGGCAAGCAGTGCAAGGAGAAGTAACAACCAAAGCCAAAAACACCAACGAGGAAAACGAATATACGGACAACGAATACCCGATCCTGCTGTTGTAGGAGTAGTCCGTTGAGTGATAGGTTGAGTTTCGTCAATAAAATTATCGTCGATCGTACGAATCGATCGACGATATAGATTTGTATTAGATTCGTCTCTGGTCGGAACTTCTTCTGCTAGAAAGCCTCGCATTGTATTAGTCGAAATGACGATAAATTTATGAGAGAGCAACAAAATATAGCTCTACGATGATGATTGCTCTCAGCAGGAATAAATAAAACACAATATGATTTTGCATTGATTTCTCCTCTTCAAATGAAATTAGCCAAGTTTTTGAGAACAAAAACTTTTTTTCTACTTGAAAGAATAATAAATTTTATTTTTTTAGAATGGTTTCATCAATAGCTGTATGGCAAGTTTCAAGTGTGATACACTACACTTTGAACTCAAATAAAGAAACACAAATCAATACAAGAAAAAAAGTTATTTCCAAAGAGTTACATATGAGTCAAATGGTGCAGTTGTTTGTTGTTGATTTTTTCGCGCACTTGGTACTGAACGTGAATTGAAGACTAAAAATAGAATTGGCCAGTTACAATCTTCGCTGAGATTTGCTTCAGATTTCATCCGAAATGCTAGATGACAAGGTCACTTTACAGCATAGAGTTAAATTTAAAAGCTACGAGTAATCGCTATACACATAGGTTGACCAGGATGTTTCTGAGCTTTAATATTCTTCGCGAAAGGAGCTATGATATTGGGTTTTTTTTATGTCTGTATTTCTAAATTAGCAGATAAGCTCAATATTTGAAAATGAACAGTCAAACACCAGCTAATTTTAATGAGTTCTCAATCTGCGAAATCATATTCAACTCGGTTAATTCAAATATCTTGGAAATCTTCTCTAGCCAATCATGATCTATCATTTATATTATACTTACCGTATCCTAAACAAGCCAGACTATCGCTATCATTCGTTCCATCGCATAGATCTCGAAGTGTAGTTTGTATTTTCGACTTGGCTTGATCGTTTCCATTCGAAATTCCATTCGTGGGACCACTAGCATTGTTGCCTATATAAGTTGAATCGTCAATTGATATGCGATAGTCACGTACACGTCGTAAATAGCCTTTTAATACACAATATTGCACTAATTTTCTTTTTAGAAACAAAACCAAGTCAGTAAAATAAATGAGACAAAATATTATCGACGTGTTTTTACTTTTCATCAATATTATTTGCTTTCATTTTATTCACGACATCTTTAACGAGCGATCCATGATCAAAAGCACATATCATACGAAAACATTCATAAAATGAAACGCAATCTTTTGCGCCTATGATCATTCAAAGAAATGCATTATCGTGATAATAATCAAAGAAGAAAAGATGCATACCGCTTCGACCAACAAAGAAAACGAGCTCTTTCTGTAATGGTGTATTTGTATAAAGTTCTTGAAGTTTTGGCGTAACGATATAGCGATTTTTATAAGAAAATATCGGAACAAGTTTAATAACATTATGATAACTATAACGTAGAAATTTATTTATTAAGATATTTATTTTCATAATTCATTACATTAAATTTTGCATTGCTGCTTTGACCAAATCAAGCTCTGTATCTGTGTCTTGTGCAATTTTATTTACATGCCGCAAACCATCAATACTGGCGATAACCTTTTTTTAATAAATAAAAGAATAAATTTTTTTTTTTCGTTTTTCACTCTCAAGATTTCTATAGTGTACTCGTTGCGTCATTTGGTCCATTTGTTCTAGTTCACTCAAATCGATATTGTTACAAAACATTGGTACGTCCGATGAAGCGACCGTTGGCGGTTCAGCTCGTCGTTCAAGTAATTTCAGATTCACAATAACAGACGTATCTATAAACGAGCAACAGATTGTTGGCACAGTCTCTTTAAGACATATATCCCTTAGGCTTTCTCAGCTAATTCAAAGTAACTCTAGTGAAAATTTTGACTTGTTTTTCTAAAATCTATAGTTAGGACATAACCTATTTTTTGGTGTCTGGAATTCGAAGAGGGAATCGTGAAAAATCTTCGTTTTAAATTTACATTCATCACCTTTTTTCTTCAAAAATATATGTGATTTCCACAAGATTTCGTAAGAGACTATGCAAAAATGTTTTCTTAATGAAAGATTTTAATTGACAAAGTTCAACGGATGGCATGCAAACTAGGATTTCCCGTCATTAGGTGTATATACGTATATGACTTGTTGTTTTGTTTTTAACAATACGATGCAGGATGTTGTTAGTTGCTTGATTTAGTATTTTTTTACACTCCAATTTCTCTCAATAGATTAAGGATCATGAAAAGTAACCATAATATCTTACACATTTTAACAGAGCATTCTTCTCCACTCTTGTTGATTTGTCTAACAATTTCATTCAATGCCGGTTTTAAATGTTCTCTCTTCAGCGCATCATTTGTTAAGAAACACGAATCAACCTGAAATCAGAAGAAGCAGAAAACACAATAAGATTTCATTGAGAACAAGTAATAAAAACAAAAACATTGAAATAACCTCTAATGTACGTAAATATTTCGCTAATTTCCGAACGGCAACTTCATATTTAAGTGCATCCGCTTGCGATGGTATTACAAAACAAGCATTGAAACGAAATTCATTACGATTGTTTTTATATTTCTCTTGATCATATATGATCACCGGACATCCAATTAGTTTTTGATTTTGAATGGTCCTATTGGTATGCGAATTTTCTTTTCAAAAAGCAAAATATAATTTAATTATACATACAAAACAATCAATTTGTCTATTAAATTCGGTTCTGGACAAAGAAAATTGCATACACATTGAAAGTTTTGACCTTCGCTGAAAATTGTTCTAGCCGTCTAAATAATGAGTTATTAAATAGAACACTTGTTGTTGTTGTTTTTTTTCTAATTTGAATCCTACTTCATGATAAACAAAAGCTCCTCTATTGATATCAAATTCAGAATATTGAATAGCATAAAGTACTGGTAAATTATCATTTGTCATTATGATCTTCTTTGAAATCTGAAGAAAGACAAAGAAACAACACAAAAAGAATTAGTCAAGGGTGTATTAAATTTGTCGATCGCATGGTTAATTTCATTAAAATGACGTTGGATCTTTTCCGAATTCAGGAATTTACATGGGTAGGTCAATAAGACCTTTCAGATTCAGTTTATTTTCAGTCATTCTATACAATATACAATTATGATTTCTTTTGACAGCCAGAAGGAAAGTTGACAAGCATGATTTTGCCAAAAGCTTTTCATATAATAGCGAACAATTTCCTTTAACAACATGAAATAAATTCTTATGTAGGCATAGTAAAGAAAACAGCCTATATAAATATTAACGAACAATTCATGATTTTCTTGTTAGATTTTTGCACACAATTATGTAGATGGAGAGATTTTTCATAGAAAATTTGTAAGGTCAAAAATATCACTGTGATATATTCGTGCTTTTCTTATTCTTTTGGAACTTCGCAATTGTCATTCTCTCTGGAGAGGTATTAACAGATAACGTTTCTTTAATAAGCTAATAGCATTAGTATAATGAATACTTGAAGATTAGTAGAAGTCGAAAGGGCATATTATTAGTGCGTCCAAATGAAATGCACTGGACTAGAATTCTTGTCGTGTTCAAGTATATTTTATCTACGAGAAGAAGAAGAAGAAGAAAACAAGAACAGCAACGACTTGCATTTTGCCTATAAGATAAGTTCATCGAGGAATTTATTCCTGTTTATGCCTCGCTTCGTTTTTCATGTGAACGTAATAAGATATGACTAATAATGACAAGGATGAAATAACCGAAAGTAAATTGATAAGACTATTATTTTTTTATGAAAATTTTAAACAAAAAATGTATATTAATTACAATTGTTTTCTTTCAAGTCATTTTTATTTATCTAAGCGATCTACCTACAGCAGAGAAGAAGCCCCGTGAACAGAGAATAATTCCTTATTCTTCTTGCATGCCTATCCTATTCAAAGCATAGGCCAATTATTCATAGATTCTGTTGTCTTCTTTCTCTTTACTGGTTTTCTTTTCTTTTTTTTTTAATAAAAATAGCAGAGAAATGAGTTCATCTCTGAACATTATCGCATATTCATATTAGATGAAAAAATTCACGTCACACGTCTCATGTAATTATACAAAACTATCTAACCAACTCTTCGAGCCAACAACAAGAAGACAACACCAACTGTTATTATCTTTATAGATACACAATTATGTCGCACGCCACATCGGCTCAATGTGAGACTTGCTCAGCATATTCAACAAACTCACGTGAACCTTATCGTACAATAACATTAACATTATTACGTATATATCCAATATTATTTATATTTATTGGTACTACTGGTAATATGCTTTCTGTATATGTTGTACTAAGCTCAAAGCTTCGACGCCATTCAACATTTATCTATTTAGCTTTTCTTTCTATTGTTGATCTTATAGTTTTATATACATTTTGCATTAATTTTATATTTCATGCTTGGCTTAATATTGATTTACAACAAGTATCATTGATAGCATGTAAAATCTATTCGTTTTCGATTTATTTCTTTCCTCAAACAAGCGCATGGATACTAACGGCCGTATCCATCGATCGTGTATTCGCTTTAACTCGTGGTATAAGAAAAACACGTAAAATACGTTTAACCTATTTCATATTAGGAATAATATTTCTCACACTTTTTCTTCTCAATGTACAATTTTTATTTTACAATAATACTTATAAATTTTCACAAGACGCACACAATTTATCGACCACAAATGTTATCTATAGAATTGTTGACACCGATATAGACATTAATGTTGTTCAATGCTCATCAGAAAATAATGATCAATATAGACAATTCTATGAATACATATGGGTTTATGTTGACGCTATAGTAAACGTTTATTTACCGTTTACATTAATGTTTTTATGTTCGACGCTTATATTTCTCAATGTTTTACGAACTATGAGCAATGCACATAATTCAAACAAGCGTTTAGTTGCGAGAAGTTTAAGTAAAATGCTTCTATCAATTAATACAATGTTTGTTGTCTTAACTGGTCCTATTGTTCTATATTTAATGTTTGAAAAACGAACATTTACTTCGGAAACTTATCGATGTAACGCGAAACTTAGAGCTAAACTTAAAATGATTAAATTAATTCTAATTATTCTAATGAATGCGAATCATACTGGCAATATTCTTGTTTATTGTTTAACTGGCACAGAATTTCGCACACAATTCTTGCGTGTTATTGGTAAAACTAGTAAATTAAAATTACCAAGATCTTCAAATCAACTAACAGGAATTTTACGGAAAGATAGCATCTCTCAAACATCAAGCCGAAAACAAATATTTTCTACTATAACGCCAAGAACAATTCAAGTAAAACTTAAAGAGAAATTAATTTTTACATTATATTATCCTTTTAGATGGATGAAAATATGAATAGTAATCAATTATTTCAGAAATTTCTAAGACTAGGCGACAAAAAGAATCGCCTATTCAAAACTAAACAACAAACACGATCAACAACCGCTGCATCTGTTTAATTCATACGTATATGCGCATTTCTTTTATGATGAAACATGTTAGTAAAATAAAAATGACTTCATATAGACAATGTAATGAACATGTATTCATTCTGACTAATAAGTTTCCGTTTTGATTTTCATGTTTTGTTTTCAATTTCCATTATTCTAGTTCTTTTTGCGTAATATCTGTATGTCTAGAAATTTCTCTCGGTGTGAACGATTGAATGAACGTATTCAATATAAAAATAAATCATTGGCAACATGTTTTTTGTGCACTTAAAAAACAAAAGTGAGTACACTATAGAATCGGTCAGTGTGTCCGGCCGGCCGTTTACACGATAGCTCCTGAAAGGCTGATCTGATTGTCATGAAATTTTGTACACAGAATGATCTCATCAATATCTTAGTCGGATTCGAAGATGAGAATGATCCGCCAAGAAATGGCTCAGTTATCGAAAAAATTGTCATTATTGACCAGACCATCCCTGAGGGGGAGTACAGGGATTTTTTCAAAAAAAACTTTTTTTTCTCAGTATTATTCACAACATATATAAATCGACTCAGTTTTTGCAGTACACATAGTAATCGGATGCAAATCCGATGTTTCCGCATTTATTTTATCTTAACATGAACTTATGAATCGAGAACATGAATCTAACAAGTGAGAAAAATATATACTTTGTGACATTTTTATTTTTTCTAAGCTCGCAGAGTTATGATTTTTATAGTATTGAATAAGTTCGAAAATATTTCAACCATAATGACGATGATAGGTGTAATATGGTTTAACTACAAGCTCTCTATGTGTTTGATACAACGTAAAACATCGTTACCTCCGGCTATACTTAATAATTAAATCTGTGAATCACACGTAACCTTACTGAAAATATTGATGAGTTCATGATAATCTGAATATTCGTTGATCTATTCTCTATGATTAATCCATAAAAAGAAAGCGTCTCTTTAGAAGTATTATTCATCTTGAAAAACTCGACTGCAATAAGATTTTAAGCACGAAAATATAAAATAAATTATTAGCACTACTAGCTCATTTTATTGAAAATTTCTCATTGGAAGAGATAACGTTAAAAGTTCAAGAAGATGAAATTGTAAAACATCAAAATACATTATGCAGTAGAATTATCATCCAGATTGATTTCAGGTTCTACGGCGCATTGTGCCCCTTGATAAAATAAAAAAATATTTTTCGACGAACACAAAATGCTGGAAGCAAATGTCACAATGGCTCTGTTTTTTCAATGAATTATTGATAGGAAAAAATGGGAGTTTTGTTTCGTGATAAAATTTTTCATTAATGTCTCTATCTCATTTAAATAATCAAGAAAATATACAATGATCAACACTTGGTTTTCACAGTAATTCCTGTAGCATCACGTGCAACGTGACCGTTTTCCTTAATTATAATCTAGTCTCTTGTGAACTTGTTCGTGTCATTCATAATTTGTTTTGTGACGCTGTCGAAAGCTTGAATTAAACCCATGACATTCAAAACAAAAGCTCTGACACCGGTTTTAACTTCAAGACTTCACATTTTCAAGCCGTTTCATGTTTTGCTGACTCTTATACAGAAAAATAAAAACTAATACACGCAATCCATAGGGAACTAAATTTGTAATCATGAAAAAATGGCATCTTTGCTATTGTGCTTTAGAAACTCGCACATCCCTAAGAGGAAAAACTAATTTCACTGCTGAACAGGCATAAAACAATTGACTTCAAGATCGGAATATCGATGTGATCAGTCGTGAACTATACGCGCATAGGACATGAACATATCACAGAGACTAGAATTACGAGAAGAGAAAAAAAAATCCGCCAACTAAATATTACAGTTAAATACAGTGCAATCTTAAGCGCAATGTGATCCCTGCCCCCTAATAGTAGAAGCCCTCGGGGCTTCTAAACTAACCATCGTTCAAAATTTTTCAAGCGGGACTTCTATTATGATAGGGCTACTGATGCGACTTTCGTACAGAAGTTTCAAAAAAAAAATAAATGATTCGATCTAACATAAGTGATAAAATTTTTAATCTCCGTTGTCCAAAATATCAATTTAGGCTGAAACAACTTGAAACAGATTGTTTTGATTTCTATAATTTGTTAAAATGTTAATTCTTTTAATTTTTAAATTTTTTTTTCTGATTTTTAAGTTTATTTAATTTTTTTAGTTTTTAAAACTTTCAACTTATTGGTGATTTTTTTCAGTTTTTCGAATTTTAAATCAAGAAAATAAGAAAAGTCTGATTTCAGCTGTTTGCCCTATGTAAGCGAGTTCTTATTTCAATCATCTTGACTATTTATTTGCGATAAATTCAAATAATTTTACGAAAATCTGTGAAGTTTTATACCGAGAGACAAAACAAATTCACTACTGTAGTAATAGAAGGCCCAGAGCACTTCTAACCCATTTTCATATCGACCTTTCTTTGGGTGGGAGGGGTTATTTTCTGTCATACTCATTATTACATAGATCAAAAGATATGGGCCAGCAAAATGGTTATGAGAATATTTTTTTGCTTCTAAAGACTTGAACTAAAGTGTGTCTCTACGTAGATTTCAGAACTTGAAAAAAAACCAACAAGGAAATATTTCTGTAATGAAAAAAAAGGAGACATTTGTGCAAGTCATATTTTATTCAAACCAATATAACATTCACGAGACGATAATACACATATAAAGAGACATAAAAAGAAATGACTAAAGATAAATACATCGATATCATTTAGTAGATTACTATAACACATTAACAAAAAAGAAGGACTACCAGATTAAGAAAGACCTGAACAGATACATTCAAAAAGAAAATGCAAACACAACAAAATGGTAAATGTACCTGAGGAACATCAAACACACAAACCGGTTTATTTTTAATGTAAAACTTTATTTTAATAGTCAATAATAAAAATGAAGAAAAACTGCGGAGGCTTTTTTTTTCTTTTATCATATTCACATGTTTGAGATACAAAAAACAAGAATTACCGCATGAAAAACCGGATTTAGAAAACATCAATCATAAGTCAAAAATAAAACACATATTTACATGAGACAATAAATAGGACTATTGCACGTTGAGACACAAACAACAGCAAGAGAAAGAAAAAGAGAAAAGACTTTTTTTTTCGTATAATATTTTAATTATCAAGATTTAATGTTGGCGTTGATTTTTTTTCCTCGTTTAATATTTCTTTGAAAACATCTATGAGACGTTCAAGTCCAAACAAATAACCTCTATCGGGGCCTACATGATTATTTGCTGCGGATATTTCGTCAGTCGCTGGTGTCGCATGAACTGAATGGGCAAAATCAATCATACGTATATCAATGAGATTTGATTGTAATAAACCATCATAAACAATTAAAAGACTTCCACTATAAAAACGGTATGTTGATAGAAAGTTTATTGTTTCATATAATGACTCAAGTCTTTCGATTATTGCTGGCAGGACATCAAGACGCTTTATTCGGCCATTGTTAAAAAATTCTACTAATGTTGAACGAAACCCATCAATAGTTAATATTCGACCGCGATATTTATCTGTAAAAATATATCGACCACTATCAACTTGGTAAACCTACGATGATTAAATATCGATGGGGTTTCCCATATTTCTCCTGTGAAGAAAATAGAACAAAATAATCTACCTGCATTCCACACAGCCGCACACCTAAAGTTGATGACGTTGATGATTCACATTTTTGAATTTTGGATTGTCGCTTTTTATCGGAATCAATATCAGCATGTTGTCTTCTACCCATTTTTAAATCGAGTATGCATGGGTATCGAAATTGCGCTGTTACATTTTCCAATAGAATATATTCTAAATAGAAAATATTTAATGCGTCAAATATGTTTTTTTTCAGGACAAATGAGAATGTATGTTCTATCAGGCCATTGAGTTTTTTTTCTTTTCTGATTATCTCCAAGGTCAGACGGACATCACAAGGTTCTATGCGATGATAAGCAATCAACTAGTCTTGAAGTGATCGAATGAAAATATTGTGCGAAGTAATATCAGATTTTGGAAAGAAGAATGTTTTCATTAGATAAGCGCTGCGGAGCATACACAATATGTTAAAACATTCGCATTCATGGACAACATTTTCACTCTACTAAATTACAGGCATTACTACTGAATCTTGTACACTAGAATTTTGCATTCCGATCAAAAAATGTTGTTGATCTAAATCTAATTTCTTCCTAAAAGAATTCATTAGTTGGAATCGTCTCCTGCAAAAAATACTTACTCTGTGAAATAGTAACATTTTCATCGCCCAGCAGTTGTCGGTGCAATTTTTCTGCTTGTTTCTTACATAATTGTAAACCCCAAGGGTTAATTTTTGACATGATTATTTTCCCCTGCTCATAATTAACCGCATCAGTGCCCAAATTATTTGAATAATCAACACGTCCATCTTCCGAACAGCGTAATCTATTTCAAAGTAAATTCAAATAGTTTTCAATTAATAAATAACAACACAATACTAACTGTACAGATTTTTTCGAATTATGATCTGTTGATTCTTGATCAGTTGTTATTTTCATTTCATCTTCATTCGAAGAATGATCATCATCATTACAAGTTGTTTCAGGTTGAGCAACAAGTTTAATAAATCCTAATTCGTCTTCACAATATTGTACTGTTACAATGCCTAAAATAATTTCGAATATGACAATAGGAAAATAGACGACAATGAAGATATCAGCGAACCTCGAAATTCCGGCGTGAATTTCTTTAATGAATCTGGCATCGATTCATAAAATTCTAATTCAGATGATTCAAGAACTTTACAAACAGTATCTTTACCATATTGAAACATGGACGAATGACCACCGACCTCGAAAAACAAACAAATATTTTCAATAGAAAACTATTCGGCAAATCAATTTTTACTTGGTGAAAATAAGGTGATAATTGAATATATGACTGTTGACTGCATTCGCAATCATTCATTAGTACCATGGAATTAAATAACATCAATAAAAAATAAGACGGTTATATATAAACACATAAACCAAAAAAAAAACGAATCAATCTAAAATATACAATACATATACAGGTGAAATAACATTGTCGATGACTGAATAGCTAAAGTTTGAGCGACCTTCGTAATGTATTCTTCGTGAAATAAAAAAGAATAATATTTCAACAATTGCCTGCACACTCAAAAGACTAAACGACGACGCTGCAAAATGCAAAGTCATCGTTGTATTTAAAATGATGATTGGCTTTTATATATCATAATATGATGGAGGAACAAAAAAATGTTACATACGAAAAGAATGAATAGAAGTAATTTTTCATTTCTCTTATATATAATATCAATATAAAACAGACGTTAACATTATTGACTCGTCTACTAAATATATGACACACCTCCTGCTGCTTCGATTTTTTTGCGTTTGTAGATATAAAATGTCATGAAATACTCCGAAAGTGCACAGGGAATTAAAAAAAAGGTCACAATTCCAAATGAGGGTAGCCGTCACCTGTTAATCACCTTATCATTCGGAGAAATAAAATAAAAAATACCCATGATTGTTATTGATCTGAACAACATCGAGTCAAAACAAATGTTCTATAACGCATAGTGTAAATATCTACTCCATCAAACACTTGCACAGTATACTTATTTTTTGTTTTTTTATTATGTAGTGGTATCAAAGTCAGATGACATTACAAGTTTAGTCATACCATCCTCCAATCAATCTATTTTATATGTAATAAATAAATAAATATAAATATAAAGGAAAACTGCAAGTTCTTTTTTATCTGTCAAATATCAACCAATCAGATTTCAAACAAAGGAATTATAGAGGTTGACACTAAGCAATGTTTACATGTTATGGCTATTGTTCGTTAATATCTTATAACCGAATTTACTCATTGGAAATAATAATAATAATACGAATAAAATGCCATTGTACGAAATATTTTCTCATTCGGATCGTTTTCATTATCGTGCAAATGTATTCTCATTAGCTGTATGTTTTTTAATACTTTGTACAATTTTAACATTCTTACCACCATTTCTATTTGCTTATTATGCTGGTGGTTTTTGGATAAAAGAAGCAAGTTATAGTGAACAACCACGAGTTAACTATTCAGCAAAATATATCGTTATTGTTGACAACGATGATTCTACAAGAAATCGTTTTTTTACTTCCTCTTATTTAGAAATAAATACAGTTTTTCGTGATGTTCTTATTTCTGGTACAAATACATTTGATGCATACGATACTAATCATGATGGTGTTACTGATCAATTTCATATTACAATTGAAGTCCTATTCGGTAGTACTACGACAGCTGTTTCTCTTCAAAATCTTAATGTTTGGATAATATTTCAATATGAACTACGAGCTAGACAATATATTCTTATGGAGACAATGGCGTTAGTTAATCTTGTCCCGCCGGAAAATATGCCTTTATCGAACAATCCAAATGTTACTGTACTAGGTGACTTAGTCCTGGAACAACGACAACCAATACAGAGTTCAGGCAACGATTCATCCTATAATAAATCAATTATTAATTCAGATAATCTATTTACAACATCATCGATTGACCTTAATCCTGTTCTGGATGAATATTTTACAAGAAAATATTATACATCATATAAACCACAATATGTAAGATGGAGACGTGGTGCTATTTCAGGAACGAATGTATTAACTATCAATATTATTGTTAATACCAAACAACAAGCTATAAGATTTATACCTGGTTTTTGGCAAGAATTTAAATGGGGATGGATACAATATATATGTGTACTTTTACCGTTTATTATTGGTTTTAATCGCATCAAAGAATTCGTTTTTCAAAGTCAACTTGTTCGAACCTCAGTTGAATTTCCTTATCATCGACATAAATCCTAAATCAATATTTTGTTTTGTGTGTGCGTGTGTGTGTGTGTTTAGGTACAAACAAAAGAGAATAAACATGAAATAAATTGGTTAGAAATATTAAAATTAATCTTACGAGAAAAGAACATCTTCAAATAGGTTGCAGTCTTCATGTTCAATCGGCTTTGTGCCAATTTGTTGAGCTCGGCGAGTAGGTCACAGTGGAATAGCGTAATTTTGTTTCTTTACTATATTTGTAGAATTTCACCGATTGTAATGTTGGAGAAAATGACTTTAAGCTGCTTATTGGAACAGCTTCCATTTTTATATTAACTGTGTGCACTGTATTTGCCATCTTAACTCTCAATGCACCTTAATCAATTGATCTCGTGTATATAATCAGCATGAATAAAGCCTCTAATAATGTTGATCTGCTTTTAAAAATTGATTCGCTTCTCTATATTCAAAAAGTCTGTATACCAACTTCTATTGATATTGATTTTAAGCCAAAAAAAATAACTAAAACATATATTTTTGTAGTTAAGATTCTGCCTATCGAGACTTAGAAACTTGCAAGAAACGAAGAATTACACTCAGCGACCTTTTCTTATTAGAGACAAATTTTCTTCTACTTGACATAATATACAAGTAAACTATCACGCAGTTGTGTTTTTCTGTCTACAATCACAGGGAACAAACTTAACACGCAATCTATTCAAAAGTTCATGCATATGAGAATATTTAATAGGCCAAGTTTCAAGAAATCAGAATTTTTTCAACTTTTTCTTCTGATATGAAAGCAAAGTTTGAAACCATAAGTGATAAGACACAAAACAAAGCATTGATTTTAGCAAATATGATAGGCCTGTACGGTATTTTGAACTTCACAAATTTTATATAGTCATCAATCTCCAATTTCTTGTTATCGTTAAATAGTCTGATATTTTCAAATATCCGCAGGAAGGATGTAATTCTCTTTTTCTTTCTGTTTATTTTGAAGTTCTGTTCAAAGATGTTATGACTTGAATACATTTGCGAGGATGTGGAAAACCTTTTTCATCCACCATTTGCGTTTAAATATATTTCCTGTACTGAAAAACATTTTTTACGATGTCTACCTTCGCTCTTCATCACATACGAAAAATATCGTGTTTGCTTTGTTTATATCGATGACGTTCAAAATAAGCAATTCCATCAAATTGTACTCCCACCCGTTCTACATGATTAGTTTTGAATAGCTTGATATCCTTGTCTCTATCGCCTATGAGATCTTCTTCTAAACGTAAATCCACTTCAACGAAAAATAAATTTTTATAAGGTTCCGTAGTAATTTTGAATGAAATAAAACAGAGACACTACCATTTCTCATCTCTTTTTTTTTGAAACTAAGAACAATAGAAAAGAAGAAAAAAAAATCGAACACAAAAATGTCATTCGAGCTTAACAACAGTACTAGACCATCTATGTTCAATTTGTCCTTGGCTCTAATACGCATGCAAATAAATAGTGTATCTTTTTTTCTTTTTAAAAATCGAAATCTCTATCCTCGATAATATTCAACTGGTTTAATTGATTCTTCATCAGCTAACGTTGTATCATTATCAATACTTCGACGACTACTGCTATTCATTGAATTGCTTTCATAGCTTCGTACAAAAGCTCGTGCAATTGGTTGTGCATTAAATGACATTCGTTCATAATCATTGTGCATTTGTTGTCGACTATGTTCGATGTCGTCATTGTAGCCATGGTCATGCGAATGACTTCGAAATAGAGATGGGCGCATTCGATTATTTTGCTGTTCTCGGGCAAGAGTATCACATACGGAGCAACGAGCTGATAATGATGCGGTTTCACTGCCTCGTTGGTGGTGGTGCTGCTGTTGTTGCTGCCGATAACGATAGGAATCATGAAATGATTTTGCTAGTAGTTCAGCAAGAATGCGAGCACGTTTACTTGTTTTACAGAGTATAACGTGACATTCAAGTTCGTTGGTATGTGGAGATCGCGCAATCCACGCAAATATACGACGATGTAATGGTTCAGCAACACAATAAGATATATCTTCAATAGCATCGGACCATACATTTTTATATGTTCCATTAGCTATTTCTTCGTAGATGGATAAACCAAACGGATGTATTGACACAGCACAACGATTGTAACGTGAACCTTTTTTCGAACGAGCCCAAACAATACGTACAGGCTCCTGGACAATGAAATTCATAGAAATAAGACGGAAACTATCGAAAACTACTTACAATAGCTACACCCATTCCGTGAGCATACATTGAACGTACTTTACCGAGATATTTAACAGGTTGAAGACAATCATCATTGCCATTCATTGTATAATTTTGTTCAAAAGAAAAAATGAATATATTTGTATGATAAATTCTCTCTTTTCTAATCGACCTTTTATTAGTGTATGTCTCATTGGTGGCCTTTTTCCTCTTGTCATTGATCCTAAAGTAAAGCTTTCGAGGAAATTAAACAACTGATGATGAGAAGAACAAAAGAGAATGAACAAGAGAACGGACGCGACTATGTACTAAGTAAATGAATAAATGAAGAAGGCGGGAATAAAGATTTACAAATGCAAGCAACGTTGTTTGTTTATACACACACATTGGTGAATAGACACACGCGACAGATAGAATTCTGTTTTACTATTTTTTTTGTTGTTGATTACTTAATGAAAAAGTTCATGTTAGTCAACACAATGGATATCGTTTAAAGTTGAACATAATCTATTATGAAATAACCAGTGTGACTTATCAAATGTTCTTTTAATTATGATCACTGCGAATGAAATAGTCTATGTTTACATCGACTGGTCAACTACATTTTCAACACCTATGAAGAACAACTGACGAATCTATGATGGCTCAAGGATTCTTTTTCAACTGCAAAACATCTGACAGTTTCTTTTTCTTTTTTTGACAAAGTCTAGACACTCTTCAGTGTAATTAATTCGTAAGATTTTTCATACAATAAGATTTGCACACTTGTACGTTTTCATTCTTTTCTCCTTAAGTAAAGTTGGATAAGAAAAAGTCTTTAGACAAAATATCTGACGCGCCAGACTAAAAGCTATGATTCAAAACCAAAATTATTTTCGAGTACAGTCTTAAAACTGTCAAAAAGTTCTTGTCCGGCCGTGTTTAAAACAGTCAAAGTTGAAGCTGCGCACTTTTCTGCATAATTAGATGCAGACCTCAGTTTTATTTACTACTCGAATGTAAACATCACTTGCAATTCAAAATCGTTCGTTCATTGAAACAGTGAAGTTTCTGCTAGACAAACGGATGCAAAAACTATGATGATAATTTTTAGCGATAAGGAAAACGTCTGATTTATCAGAACTATTTTCCAGTAAACTCAGGAAAAAGAATTGACTACTAGTTTAATGACATCTGATGCGACTAGAGGTGTCGGATTAGCGTTAAAAGTGAAAATAATGCATTGGTTTATTTCTCAAGGAAAATTGATTAATAATAAATCTTTAGAATTAAAAGTAGTATCGGTGTTAGGAATGATAAATTAGTGAATAAATCCGCATTAAGTATTTTCTTTACCGTAATACACCAATGCGTTATTTTCATTTTTAACACTAACCTGACACCTCTAGATGCGGCGAATAGATAAGCCAAGGACTATAGATTCATATTTGCATATTTTTTCTGAATTACTTATGGTGATTTTAATACTGAGATTAATACATAATATATCAAACGATCTTGGGAGTATCGAGTAGAAGAAAAAAAAAACGTGCCAAACTTTGTATAAGAGGATTATACAATTATATAAAACACACACATCATTGCCAAAATACGTAATCACAATGTTTTTTAACCGTTGATTAAATCAGGTTCAATAGGAGTACAAATACGGCCTAGTAAAAACGTCTAAACTGATGTCTATCTTACCGTTGACATCTTAGAGCATAGGTGTAAAGCGGGTAAATGTTTTTTTTTGCCTAATCCTTTGTTCTTTTGTGATTTCTTGTTCTAAAATTATGAAAGAAAAACAAAGAAACTCTTTTTGTGTACTCAAAAAGTGACTACACTCTAGAATCGGTCAGTGTGTTCGTCCGGTCGGCCGTAGGCACGATAACTTTTGAAAGGAGAGTCAGACTGTGATGAAATTTTCCACACAGTTCAATCTCATAAATATCTCGGTCGAGTTCGAAGATGAGAAGAATCCGTCAAGAAATGGTGGAGTTATCGAAAAAATTGTCATTTTTGACCAGGCCATCCTTGAGGAGGGGTACAGGGATTGCTTTTCAAAAAACAAATTTTTCTCAGAATTACTCACAACATATATAAATCGACTCAATTTTTAATGCTGATTCCGAATCTGATATTAGTTTTGAACTAAACCGTAGCTTTCTAACGAAACATCGCCTGAAAAACGTCTCAAAATGCACAAAAGCTGCATCCAGAAATCAAATTGTCTAGTTTCTCATGATAATTTTCGTGTTCAGACATTCTAGAATGGCTCATATGTCCCATGCACTTTTTGCAGTACACATAACTCTCGGATGAAATCCGAAGTTTTCACATTTATTTTAAATGGCAAAAGGAAATTATTGAGTCCTCGTTGATCTTCGCTTAGAATATTTTAATTGGTTTCATCTTACACGACATTTTAAAGTCATGTTTCGTAGTCGGGTCTATTTGTGAAAAATTGATAGGAATAATTCATTCATGTTTGACTGCAGCTGCAATCAGTGTTTGTTTAAGTTCATTGTATACGTCATATTGTTCACCAGTTAAACTAACTTTATTGATTAAATCAAGCAAATCTAAACCAGTGCGGCGACGCTAAAAGAAAAATTTTACTTCAACTAACGATTTAAAAAAATCTATTTTACTTACTGAATCTTTCACAAGTGCCAACGATGGATACTTTTGAATCAGATATAAGGCGATCTGAAGTTGCCGATTTTTAATAGCATCGTGAAGGGATGATGAGCCGTCTGAATCTCGATATAGTGGAATTTTTTTATGATAGTGAACGATACTTTCAACAATGTTCTTATTGCCTCTTATTATAGCTTCTTTGAACTGTTTAATTCTATCCTAAACATTCGAAGTTCATTATTGTTTCCTTTGAAAACAAGTAGAAACGGCATGCTCACCAATAATTCAGGTATTTGATAATTAACGAAATTAAATGTATTTTTATTTATATTTTCAATAGCTTTCAATTGATCAACTAATTCTGTATAACCATATAGAAGTAAATAGTTTATTGCTTTTACGTTGCCATTTTCAAGTAATCCACGACAAAACGTATCTAGACGATAACAAAGAATGAATATGTATAACAAGATTTTCCAAGGCAGCTCTAGGAAATGGTAGAGACTTTCGAACTTTTGATATAAAATACTTTCAATTTTGCACTTTCTTTGAACTTGCGTTGTATAAGAATTCAAGAACGGAGTAAATGTTTTTCTTCACTAAATTTTCTACTCAATTTTAGTTAGTGACAGAAATTCTAGTTAGCTATAATGTTATGCGTAGTTAGGTTACGTATTGAAGATTCAGTCGTATTCCTAAAACAACTGCATCTTCGAAGCTATTTTTGGACTTATTGTAATTCGAAGTTCTGTTCCTCAGGCTTTGATTGAACCTTTGAATAGTTTCAGAAATTTCAGTTCAATGATTCTATATGAAATGGCCACCCTTCACAAGGGATGAACATGCTATCGAACAACCACTCAACGTCGTTTTAACGAAAGAAATAAAAACTATTTCCATTTACTACGTGGTACTCCTGGGAATTCTGTTTTCTTCTCATGAATATACCTATTTCATCCACATTTTCATAACGACCAGCATCAAGAGCTACGTCACGTGGTGTTTTTCTTTGGAAATTTCGTGATGCAATTAAACGATAATTCGAACGCAGCAATTGTGAAAGATTTGTATCTGTAAAAGTAGTTCTTGAATATTCATTATAAAAGAACATTTTCTGTTCAAACTTTTAATTGCAGCTTGCCGATGTAATTCAGTTTCACCAAATTCAAGGATAAATATTTCATCATTTTTGCGGACACTTGAAGATGCTGGAGAAGCTGTTGATAATTGCTTATGTCTAAATTCAGACTTTTTAGAAGTTTTTGCAACGAAATGAAATGTCTTACCTTTTAATTAATTTTTCTATATGTCGTTTACGCTTGTTTTCTTCTTGTTCACGTAAATCTTGAGTTTGATTTTGAAATGGTAAATGATGCGGCTTGCCTTGTTCATCCGTAGGCTTTTTTATTTCGACTCGTTTTGTGTTTTCTTCTTTCTAAAAGCAGCAGCAACAACAAGAAAATACTCAAATCAAATCGAACGCCACAATAAAAGCCTTTTACTTGTTTCCTAGCACGAATCACATCAGCTTGTTTATAGAGAAATGCAGCTAGATGTTCAATAGGATCAGCTGGACGACGTTCGACTAATTCTGCTAATCCGCGAGCTAATGTGGATCCTAGTTACAGAGAAAAAAAGGCACACTAGCAAATAAATAGAACTAAGCAAGAACGTCCGCTGTTGCTGCAAATGCTGAGGAATGAGTCATCGGAACCCAAATCCTATTTGCTTTTAAAAAGTCAATTCTATTGAAACATAGTGGGAATGTTTCAATGAGCACAATAAAATGTGAACCGAGAACTGGCTCACGCTGAAGCCGATGGTAAGCAAAATGGGAGCCCAGGTCCCTGAAACTTACCAACAGTAGATATTAAATAGTTCGTATCAATGAAATTAGAATCTGTTGTAGAGCAACTTGCAGAACAATTGCGACTCATTCTTCTTTTTTTTTGTTGCTTAAAACAAAAGCACCTTCTTCATAATATACCACTCTTGTTAGTTGATATCACCTGGTTACAGACATTTCTTTTTCTCTATTCCTCATTTTGTAGATATAACGTTGTGGCGCCTCTACTCTTATCATTTTTATTTCTACACAAATAATTTCATTCGAACTATCAACAGTTACGAAATCGAATATACTCGTTGAAATGAATGATGCTTTTGTTCTGAACATAACGTGCCAGTAGAGAGTCATGCTGTAGTATAATTTAAATAAAATATTTCAGCAGGCAAAAATCATTGATGCTTAATTTCATTTATTAGTCATACTCTCACTCTTGAATTGAGCCTAAAATCTTTTTCTTTCTATTGGTCACGTTTGTTTTGCTTGTTAATCAACAACTACCCCAGTAAATGCCAAAACACGTAGATTAGTATAAACAAATGAAAATGCAATGCGATCATGATGAATTGATAACGCGAAAGAAGAAAAAGTAAAATTTTCCTTCTTCTTCTTCTTTTCGTTTCTAAATGATGACGTAAATTGTACTTTGTGTAACAAGATAAAATATAAAACGCCCATACAGGGCACATGATGAAAAAACAATGATGAGTAAAATTTATCATACGATCGTTTTTATTTTTATAATATTTCTTTTTCCAAGCACAAATTGTCTGAGCAGAAATCCCGCTATCGGAATTTTAACTGATACGAATATATACATAGCACGAATTAGTGAATTGAATTATACAAACGATGAACAATATCTAATCTATCACCATAATGATCCTGTTTATCATTTACAAAGTTTTACAGCAAACAATTTTATTAATAGAATATATGTTTGTTCACCGAATACAATCTATACGCTTGATCTACGAATGGAAGCAACTTTGGTACCATTGTCACCAGTCGATGATACACCGTGTCGATCGAGTTTAACATATTTACATGGCAAAGCAACACTTGTTTGGGCATTACGTCATTCCGTGATTGAGCTAGATTTTGAATCTATGTCAAAAAAGCATCTTTGGAATTCAACGTCAATTATAACAGACATGATATACAATTCTACTACCGTTGAAGATAAGAATAGTTTTTATTTAGGTGTAGCACTAACCGATCATGAATCAATTGTTTTATATTGCCGATCGGATGGCCGCTATCGTATATTACCATTTGAATCTTGTATTATAGTAGATAGTGACTACCAAGAGGTGTCAGGATTAGCTATTAACAATCACATTTTATATGTTGCGGATAGAGTTGCACATAAAATTTATGCATTAACCTTATCACCCAATGGTTTTCTTGTAAACAAAGATATTTTACCATTAAATACAAGTACAGTAGCTGATATTCAATCAATGTTTATTCATAATGATTATCTTGTGTGGTTAACAAGAAGTGGCCATGTACGTATTGTTTCATTGATAACGTATGAAGTACGATATCTCTTTTGGTTTGACGAACAATTACGAGCCATTCGACTTGTATCTTTTGGCCAATGGCCAAATCAAACAACAACGACTAAAGCATCAACTACAACACATTCAACAACGACAACAACGACCACAGTGACAACAACGATTACGACTACATCAAACGCTACCACTGAAATAATAACAACAACGCAATATCATAATGACGATAACTATAGTCCTTGGAAGGCAACAACTTATCTCACATCAATTATTTTAGGCATTGCATTGTTTCTTTGTGCAGCTATGATTACTTGCGTCTTACTTAACTATCGTCTGGGACGTGTTGTACCACATAGTTTTACTAATATATTTCATGTTCTACGTCATCGAACAGTAGCAGCACGATCCACACCAGAAATATCCGACGACACATTGGCATAATCTTCGAACTTATACTATCTATTTTATTTTTTTGTATTTATTATCTATTTTTTTATTTTTATGAATAAATTAAAAAAATGACCAATGATAACCTATGGATTGATTGCTATTTTAAAGTGTATATGAAATAATTATAGTCATATTATGCTCCTATTATTATATGACATAGGTAGCGCATACTTCAAGGGCAAAAGGCGGATTTGGAATTTTGAAAATCCAAAAATCCAAAACGTGAGTGATGGAATTTCCATCTGAATTTTTCCCATGTGTAAGTCTCATGATCTTTAGAATATTGTAAAATTTTCAGCGCAAACGAATGTTTCCTTCTCAAGATAATGAATGCGCAAGAAATGCTCATTTCACGGCACAGTCAGAAAATCCAGTTTTTTTGAAAATTCAATATTTTAAGACGGAAAACATCTGTTCGAGTTGAAACTTTTAGGATCTTCTATGGACCAGGAAACCTGTATATGGGAAGAATTTCAGGTCGAGACTTACGTCATTCACAGGGGGGAGAGGGGGAATGCTTTTCAACTTTGGGATTTTGGAGATTTTGAAAATCCCAAAAATCCACCTTTTCTTCCTTGGAATACTTCGATAAATACTGATAATTTAGTGAAAAAAGGTAAATATTGAATAGATACTATCTCAAGTAAATGAATCATTAAAAATAATGCATTGTTTTCTTCATTCACGAGTTAAACACTTTATGCTGTTCATTAAGTGTTTAATCCTTGCAAAGTAAAACCATCAAAACTACTCATGAATGATCATTGAGTCGTTGGAAATAAGTCTTATGGTGAATTTACATGTTCCCAAACAAAGAAACGTGAAGCTAAACAGCTGTATCTTTAACGATACTCTGAATTCTGCCGTCTATTTTTTATGTAATACTCATTGTTTAGTTTCTTTTATGAAATTGTGCTTGGAAGTGTTTATCGGGAATTAGTCTAATAACATTTATTCAGGCTAGATCAGCTAATCAAATAACAATATGCTATATTACCCATGTAAAAAAATTTAGGGTAGAAATCAGATTAAAATCGATTGAAAAATGATTGAAAATCGATTATAATCATGCACCTTTAATCGATTATAATCAAAAATAATCCAAAAAACAAAATTTTCATCGATTATTCCTATTATTTTCGATTATAATCGATTTTCAATCATTTTTCAATCGATTTTAATCTGATTTCTACCCTAATTTTTTTTACATGGGTAAGCGTGATAATTTCCATGATAACCATATATTTAGTTTTTAATTAATTTTGTTTTCTGTATTTATCGGACGATTCCTATTACAAGAGTTAGCCCAGATGTTGAAACATACAGAGAATATGAATCAGCAGTTTTATATCAAAACTTTTAAAAGCTCAGCTTAAAAGATTATTGAATAGAATATTGTTTTATTTATTGTAAACTCTATTTCCAGAAAGATAATAAAATCTACCAGATAGTTGAAAATAGTGCAAACGATTTATTTAGAGAACTCATGTTAGTCTCGTTGTTGGATCTTGATGTCTCAGTTTGCTACATAATGACAGGTGATAGATGCCAAACAGACAAGACGGACAAAGAATGAGCTACATCCAATTCGAGTTCATTCTCTGTTTAGGATCTTATAAAGCGGTGCGAAATTTGATTCTTTAGCAGTCTATTCTTTTTTCATCTGTCTGCTTAGAATAATGTGTCTATTGCACTCTCAAGTGTAGGAAATTGTTTCATTTTTTGTCAACATCTTATTTGATATTTTGTTTTTTCTAGAAAAACGATCTCGCTATTGAAATCCTCAAATTGCAATTCAAAATGGATTTATTCTGTAATACATACATGATGAGTCAACAACAAAAGTTGTTGCGCTTGAAGATTTAAAGACACTAAAAGATAATATGGTCAAAGAGATTTATAATTTAATGAAACTTGTTGGCGATATATAGTGTTGTTAGACGTGGCCATTGGCTGTTTCTTTTCTACTTACTGTTAGTTTTCTTTGTCATTTCTCAAAAATAAATCTCACGTCTATGTGAACATCGTTCACATCATGTTATGTGATTTTCTCAACGATGTGGATCTATAATCTAATTCAGTTTCTCTTGATGAACATACTATTTCATTCGGTTCAAAACCGATTTGTTCACGGTAGTTAATGTACTCTATAAATGCAAAATTTTCACGTATACAAATAAAATGCACATCTTGAGAGTGTGGGCGTAGAAGACTAGAAAACGTGCATACCAACACCCCATGACTATAAGCATTAAAGTGAGGTTCCAGCCGTTCAACCTTATTCATTTCGCTGACTTATCTAGATAGTTTACCATGTGCAGTTCCTCAACGTGAAATATGAAAATTTATGAAATTTTTTTGTTTTTAACTTTTGGCTTATGTTGGATCTCTGTTAGAATGTTAGTATTGATCCATACAATAATGTCCTGCCCTTCGCTGGTTAGAATCTTTCAAAACACTTTTCGACTATTTTTTCGTCTCAATATTCTTTTTGCGACATGTCTCCTTTCGATATTTTTATGACCAACCGTTGTATGAACGTCGGCGGGTGAGCGAGCACATTCGCACATATGTCAAAGTTGAAACTTAAACTTTATCTTCTGGTGTCATTTTGTTGGAGAATTTCACACTCCTCGAAGAAATTTAGTCTTCATGGCGTTAAAGAATTTTGTTTCTCATTGTGTACGAATAGAGGTGTAAGCCGACGTCCCCGTTGGTGGCGGCGGCTCAAAATCTTTAAATGCTATTTTAAAAAAGTTTCGTAGTTTTGAGAATTATGTAACAAAAAAGGGGAAAATGATAATATAGAACGTGCTTATTAACAGTTAGATCGGAAGAATCCAAAATACTGTTTTTGAGTATCGCAAAAATTTAGTATTTCTGCTTATATGACGGCGGCGGCTCGAAAATAAAAAATTGTTTGGTTCATCGGCGGCTAAGCCGCTCGGCTTACACTTCTATATATAAAACAGTGTTTCCAATGGAAAGTGTACACAGCAGAAGCAAAATGTACAGAACATCTGCTAGTTTCGATTTACACTCTGCTATACACTTGCCCAAAAAAACAAAGTGTACAATGTACACTTTGCTAAAATAGTTTACACTCTGATTTCTTTGATATCTGAACCTTAAAAGTCGCATACAGTTTTAAATTAGTTAAGTATGATATTTTTGTTTTTTCGCTAGTGATCAAAATGTTTGTTTCATGAGATTAAAAAATAGCGAAAATTATATTTTGTTTTTTAGATTGTGAAAATTGGGTTTTTTTACACTTTGCTCATAAAAAACAGTGTACAGTACATTTTGTTTTAGATTTCCATTGGAAACATTGGTATAAAACAGTGTGTAAACTTTATGTTATTAGAGTAGAATGCAATTTGTCATGCTGGGTTAATTTCAAAAACAAAAATATAATTATTACTATCAACAACTGATTCGATCTAATAATATAAAAAGAAAATCGAAAGTGATTTCATATCATATGTCATTTCTGAACAGCACATTCTTTCCATTTTTTACCATCCGTCTCTTTTGATTGGTTAAAACGGCGAACCGGCAATGCATCATACTGCCTATGGAGGACTGCATCCATAATCTTAATACACAATGGCGTCTGTCGGCTGATGACGATCATTTATCCTATGAAAAACAGGCCAAAACCACGCCAATAAATTTTCTACTTGATTACTCCATCAAAAATATCTTTCTTTCCTTTTAGATTCTCCCTGTTAAATCATATATGATCATATGAGTTATTCATTATTTGATTGTATATAGCATTATATGTGATTAAAACATTCGAGTTATTTTTCATTATTAAATTCGAATTATTATTAATATTATGATATTATAATTATTTGCTTTTACATAATTATTTTGTGCCATACATTTTTCGTTTCTTTTATTTTATTATCAAGCAATCGAAAACGGCAAGTTATCTCTCATGTAAGTGTTAAACAACAACAACATAACATGTGGAATACGCGCTTTTTGTTTCTCTTTACGCCTTGGTTTATTTTTCTTTGCTAATCGTATATGCTTGGCCAATGGAAAAAGAATCCTTTGCTTTCCTTTTCTTTTTCTTTTTCTTTTATTCGAATATATTCTATCTTTGCATGCATGATTACGTTTTTTATTTTATTTAGGTGTGCCACGTGATTCTTTTTATCAATAAAATATTCGCTTTTTTCTTTGTTTATTCACAGAATGTCGATGCGATAGGATAGTAAAGGTGTAACTAATGGAAGATATTCGTTTGATATCGGCATCACCACCATCATCATCAATACTCAAATCCGTTTGTTCACCTTTGACTGGTTCATTAGCAAACAATCGGCAACGAATAAATTCAGCATCGGTTATTCAACAATCTGACGTATCATCATCAAGACCAGCTCTATTGGCTGACGATGCATTAGGGCCACTCCTTTTTGAAGTACGTCAAAAGAAATTTCTTATTTACTCTTTTCCTTTTGAGAGACAATACAATAAAGTATAGAAAGAAGCGTAAGTTGATATTAATTCGACCAAGGGGGAAAGGACGGATTTAGGATTTTCAAAATCCGCCTTTTCTCCCTTGAACTCGACCGTATGTCAAGGAAAAAGAAAAATAACGAGGAGGCGTACGTGAATGAACGGATATAACTGGGTTTTCTTTCTTTTTTTTTACATCGGTGTGCGTGTGTGTGTGTGTGTATGCATTCTAAAAGAATGGCGATGACAACAACGGAAAAAAACTGCTATACTCGGCATCGGATGTGTGCGCATGCACACAGCATTATACCGACTGGAACAAGCAACAAAGAAAAAGGCCTTTGCAGTCGTTACACTACTTACGATTCTTTCCTTTCCTTTCTTTAATGTCGTTCTTCAAGAAGCATGCGCGTTATACGTGTCGCCATGCGTGTGCTAGAGATACTGACGCGCTTCCTCAACGATTAGCGGTCTGTTTGTGAAAGCAGAATACCAACACGGTTTTCTTTTCATCCAGT